AGATTTGAGTTTGTCATTAGGGATAATATTTTGAGCTGAGGTAATAAGGTCATTGGAAGTAACATCAAGTTCTTTTGCGAATTTTTTCGCTGATTTCAATGAACCACCCTTCCTTTGAGTAATAGTTTTGTAGCAGACCGGATTGCAATAACAGCGGTTTTCTTTTTCTCCACAATAACTTTCTTGGTAATATGTCTGCAACGCATTTGTCAGTACAGTCAATTAATTCTTTCTTGGTTTTTCTCGTCACCGATTTGTTCAGAAAGATATTTTGTGCGTTGTCATATTTTCTTTCCATTCTCCTTCGTGTTGAGAAGCGGCATTCTTGAGACACGAAAGAGTCAGGGCTGTTGATTCGGATTTCTTTAATTTCTCATTGGTGGTATATTTTCGTACTGTTGTTATAACTTCGGTTTTAGGGACTATAGAGACATGTAATTCCTTGATCACATTTTCACTCAATTCAAAGCATCCGTTATCTTTTTGGGTTGAAATAATAGATTTAGTTTTTTCGGGTGTGGTTTTGGACCGTACTACAATCATTGATGCTGCTTTTTCTTGGTGATCGTGTTCATCGGTGTCAAAGGTAAGAACTTCCTGGTAGTTCCAGCGGCTGATTTATATCTACTAATCAACTCACCAATTGGAACCAGAATCAAAATAATACTGCATCAAGCCTTTCCAGAGTTGTTTATCAAAGAATTTTTTTGTAGGTTGTATTTTGTCCAAAATATCCTTGCCAGGATGTGGAAATATCCAATATGTAGTAAACATTGTTGTAGAATAGTTTTCAAAGTTAAAAAATTCTCTTTATTCCATTCTTTAAGGTTTATTGGTAAGGTAGAATTCTGAACAATTCCCCAATTGATGGTATATTCCCATATTTTAGTTTCTCCTATTCGTAAAATCATCTCTTTTGAGAAGAGATACCAAAGCAGAAGATTCTGGAAGAGATGTAAAATCTGAACTATCAAAATAAGATTACTACAATGTCATTTCGTTTATTAAAATATTATGGTATACTAAAGAAAAATGTATTCATAACCAAGAAGCTTTGGTTTCGATAAGATGAGTTCTAATTTTTGGATAATTCCTCGAGTTTAATCATTACTGCTAACATTGAGTCAAAAATAGTTCTTGTTTCGACAATACCACCATAAATAAATCATAAATTAAATTAAATAATAACAATTAAATTTTATATATTTTTATATAAAATACGTACTTGAGAATAATATCAAAAATTTCAATTGTTTTGATATACGAAAACAAGGGGATCGGTATTTCAATATATTAGAGTGAGCAGTAAAAAGTTTTTCTCATTATTGACACCAATGATTACGTTGTAGTCCCTTTATCATGAAAGAAGGAATTTTGTGAATTTATCTGTTATCAAAAAAATTTGTCATTTTTTTTATAAAATTGCTAAAAAAAGCTATTAGTGAAACAAAGAAATAAAGTGTGATGAATCTTGTGATCAATAACAAAAGTACACGTGCGTGAACAATGCTAGAACCTTGTCTTTAGCAATTTTTAAGCGTAAAATGCGATGCATTTTATGTATTTTTTACAATCATATGATATGTAATGTTTGTGTTTTGTATTGGTTTCTATAAAACGAACGAACGAATTAGAGTTGAGCAAATTAGTGAAGATTGAATTGTTTTTATATTGTTAAATTACCGTTCATTATAATAAATTATTTTATTAAAATGGTAAATTTATAAACTTTATTATTGACAGAGTATGATCAACGTGTAAGAAATATTATAATCGGTCGCGATTATTTGATTATTTGGTTATCAAATAAATAAGCTTCGTATAATTGTATAATTGTATTATTGTATTATCATTGTACATTACGTTGAGACGTTAGCCTTTAATTCATGAATGGAATGAAACACGCAATTAGGAAAAAAAACAAAAATCAAACAAGAAATTAAAATTGTTAAATCCTGGAAATAAATATTTACACGTGGAATTTAAAATAAATTATGTAAGCTTGTATAAAAGAAAATGCATGAACATTTGATAATAATCCAAATAGCATTTATTTATTTATTTAAATGTGCATTCAAATATATGCAAAAATAAACAAATAAGAGATGAAGAATCATTGTGTGGGAAAGAAGCTTTGTAATTATAATCTTATAATTATTAAATTATTTAATTATCTGTAATGCCTATATTGTAAACTATTATTATTATATTCTTTGTGATGATGCGAACAATAAACTAATTAATTAATTAACCAATAAATAAATTAATAAATAAATAAATAAACTAATACATCCTGTACATAAAATCTTTTTACATAATAAACATAATCATATTACAGGAATTACACGGATAAATTATAAATAATAACTATAAATTTAGAATAATCATAAGTATAAAATAATAATTTTAATGAGTATTGATAATTAAATACTCACCGACTATACTTGATATATAATAAATCTTAATTATATTCTTATATTCTTATTAAATTCTTATATTTGAAAATAAAGGGAAGTTAAATTACTTCCATAAACGAACAATTAATTATAATTAATTACTAGGGAAGCAATTGATTATGTGAACGAAAAAACACGATGGGAGGGAAACGAGAAGACGGGAGGGAAACTATTACGACTAATACGACGGGATATGACGGGAGGGAAACTATTACGACTAATACGACGGGATATGACGGGAGAAGTTATAGATCTTTGTATTCATGTTCAAATAATAATAATAATGAAAAATAAATATAAATATATAAAAAAAAAAAAAATAAATTACTATGTATAGAATCTTTCCAGAAAATTGGTTAAAAAAAGAATTATATTGAGATTTAATAAATATTGGGAAGTATAATACAAATGAGATTATATTTAAGAGATTATATTTATGAATTATATTTATGAAATTATGAATTATATTATATTATGAATTATATTATGAATTATATTTGTGATAGTAAGAATAAAAAATTAAAAAATCAAATGTTCGAGTTAAAATTAAAAGAGAAATAATTTATTTAGTAATCGTATGGGATTCCATTATAAAATTCATAAACTCGAATGAGGCCATCATTGGTTTCTTCTTCATCATCTAAAACGTCTGAAATGTTCAAAATTGGTGGAATGTTTGAAGTGTTTGAAATGTTTGGAATGTTTGGAATGTTTGGAATGTTTGGAATGTTTGGAATGTTTGAAATGTTTGAAATATTTGAAATGTTTTGTGGAATTTGAGTTCTATATCTTCTTATTAATGATGATATTTGAATACTCCTCCCACTATTATTAAACCGATCACGATTATTGTTATTAATTATTCGAGCTAAAAATATAAAACAATTTCTAACTCGTGGTAGAAGGTGATGTCTCCAAATTCTACAAGAAGCATTTCTTATTATTCTTGCGTCAGTGAATGAATAATATCGTGATGCAATTATTGAAACAAACATTGCAAAAATATCGTATCCGTTAAAATTTCTTCTAAGTCTTCTGCGACGATTTCTCGATGATATTAATTCTTGAACACTCAAAGTAGACGAGAAGAGTGAAAGAAACGTTAAAAGATATTCAATTTCTTGAACATTTGCATTATTGGAAGGTAATAATAATAAGATTCGACCAATTAAAGTGAGAAAATCTACACGTAACGGCATAGCTAAATATTTCAAATGCGTGTTTTTTTTTGGTTTTAATTAAAAAATTAAATACAAAAAAAAAAAACGATCTTTTATATATTTTTCCGGAAGATAAATGTTATTAAACGGGATTTTAAATTACCAAATTGAATACAAGAAGTAAATTACATAAAATACCACAAAATAAATAAATAAATAAAATAAATAAAATAAAAAAATCATCTTGTTAAATGAGAAAATCTATATTCAATATATTCGGATATTCGGTTAATTAGAATAAGTATAATGTAAGTATAAAAAAAAAATATAAAATAAAATTAATAAATAAAAGAAAAAAAAATTAAAATAAAATAAAATAAATAGAAATATTATAAATGAACAATGGATGATATGATGTGATGTATATTGATTTTTATTTTAATCATTATTCGTTACAATTGTAATAATTTATTTATCAGATGGAGAATAAATGTGATGGTGATGTAATAGTATAAATAAAATATTGAAAGTATTTAATAAAATGTTCTTATTAGTTTAATTTAAAAATAATCCCTTGATTATTAAATTGAAAATGTCTCCTTATATCATCACCCGTGAAATTAATAACATTTAAAAGAAAAAAAAAATAAATTAATGGACCATAGACATGAATGAACGAATTTCTATAATACAATAATAATTATAAATGCATAATTGTTTAGAAAAATATAAAAGAGTATACTATTCTATATTTAAGCAAATTGAATGGGTAGAATAAAAAATAGGCTCAAAAAAAAAAAAAAAAAGAAATAAAAGGTAAAGGAATAAATGATAAAGAAAAAAAGAAATAAATTAAATTAAAACTAAGACACTAATCAATTCGAGTAATTCATATAAAATGTTGTCTATTTGTTATTTTGTTATTGTCACATTCACATAATATATTTTATTTTTATATTGTTATTTATATTATTCTTTTATAATCATCATATAAAAAAAAAAGCCCCGGATTGAATAACCCATGGAGAAATCTCTCCGGAACGTGTAACCAAATCATTTTTAATAAAATTTCGTTCCCGTGGCGAATATCAATTTTTCTTTTCTATATATTAGGAGATATTTTATTTGCTACATTTTAGGATATATTTTTAAATTTCAGAGGCTTTAATTTTTTTTTGTTTTTTTTTTCGAATGAAAATTACTTATAAAAATATATTTACAGAACAATGTTTTTATTAAAGACGCCCCCCCCAAAAAAGCCCACGTTTTTCACATTTTGTATTTTTATAAAACTTGATTTAAAAATTAAGAAAAGGAATATCAAATTTCACCAAGCCAGTTTTCAAACAAGCCACAAGAAATTATAACGTGTGCCATTCTCAGATCTTTTCGAAATGTAATAAGCCTTCCCTTCTCTTTTTTGGTCTTTTTGATCTTTTGATCTTTTGAAAAACCCAAATTGACTACGACAACCGCGAAGACACATTTTAATATTTTATTTAATATTTTTATTGTTGCTGTCGACAAAAAAAAAAAGATTATTATATTATTTTTTTTTAAATTTATCGTCAAAAATAGAAATTAAAATGTAAATTACTCCCAATAGTAAATAATCATAGTTAATAATAATAATAATTAAAAAAAAATAATAATAATAGTAATAATTGATAGTGAACAATAATTTAATATAAATAATAGAGCAATAATAATAATAATAATAATAATAATAAAATTTACAAAAAAATGTCGCAGAGACTTAAAGGAAAATTAATAGACAGAGGTGAATATGATAAATATAATGATGAAGATGAAGGTGAAGATGAAAAAGTAGAAGAGAGAAAATTGTTAAGAAAAATGGATTCAAGACTTTTACCTTTAGTTACACTTCTTTATATTTTAAGCTTTTTAGATCGGTAAATGAATTATTTAAAGATATTATGATTTGATTATGATTTCTATTTCTTATCATTTTTATTTCCTTATTTATATGTGAATTTAATTGTTTATTATTATTATTATCATATTTTTTTTGTTATTAAAAATGATAACAGAGTTAATATTGGAAATGCAAAATTGGCAAATATAGAAGATGACCTAAACTTGACAGGAAATCAATATAACTGGAGTTTGGCTATATTCTTTATGTAATAAATATTTTTATTTTATTAATTTTTCTATAATTTTACTTTTTTTTAATAATTTTATTGTTTTTTAAATAGCGGTTATGTATTATTTGAAGTACCATCAAATATTATTCTGGCGAAGACTAAACCATCAATATGGAGTGAGTAAATATATATATATATTTATAAATTTTTTTTTTTTTAGAAAATTGCTAAAATTAAATCAAGGAATTATGAAATTTGCCTAGTAGTGACAATCATCCGCGGTGATATTTAACAAATACCCTTTTTTTTATACTAAAAATTAATTTATTACAGTCCCTACAATTATGGTCGGTTGGGGGGTCGCAATGACATTAATGGCACTAGTGAGTATATTTATTATATTATTATTATATTATTATTATTATATTGTTATTATTTATATTATTTATATTATTTATATTATTTATATTATTATTTTATTTATTTTATATATATCTGTTTTTCATTGTTATTATTACTATTATATTTATTGATAGGTAACAAACTTTCAACAATTGATGACGGCTCGATTTTTTTTGGGTGCTTTCGAGGCTGGATTGCTCCCTGGAATAGTGTTCTTTATAACAATGTGGTATATACGTTCGGAACAGAATTATCGAATTGGAATAATTTATGCTGGGGCGACATTAGCCGGAGCTTTTAGTGGTTTGATTGCATATTTCATAATGGATTTGGATGGCAAAATTCAATTGAGTGGATGGCAGTGGGTCTGAATGCATTCAAAATTTTCCATATTTCATATATTTACATATAAATATATGCATAGAATTATTATTTATTTATTAAAATAACTATTATTTTATTCATTTATTATTATTTCCCTAGATTTTTTTAATTGATGGATCAATCACAATATTAATTGCATTATTGGCGTATTTTTTTATTTCTGATTACCCCGAAACGGCAAAATTTCTAACGAACGGTGAACGAGCTTTAGCCATCAAAAGATTAAAATATGATGCAGGTTCCGGTCATCTTACCCATTTTGAAAAGGAATACATTTTAGCAGCTATCAAAGATTGGGTAAAATATATTATTTTATTTTAATTATATTTATAGTATTTTTTGAAACAGTATTATTGAACAATATTTACAATATTTATGGATTATTTATTGTATTTTCGTTTTTTCTAGAAAGTATGGTCAGCAATGTTTATATACATCGGGATAGTTATTCCAGTATATTCGTTTTCATTTTTTATTCCAGCAATAGTAAATGGAATGGGATTTGACACAGGCAATAATTCAACTTTTATTATTCATTCTTTATCGAAAATGATAAATATTAAATTTTCATTGTATTATAATTTCTTTTCTTAGTAATCTCTCAGTTACTTTCTGCACCACCATTTATTTTGGGATCAATTTCTACTATTATTATAGCGATTATATCCGATCGTTTGGCTATGCGTGGTCCATTTTTATTAAGTTGTTGTACTATTTCAATCTTGGGATATTTATTACTTATTATCCCTGGAATTTCCACTGCTGGTTAATATTATTATTATTATTATTATTTATTACCAAGTTTTGATCATATTGATTCATTTATGTATACTTATAAATATTTATTATCATTTCAAGGGAAATATACTGGAGCATGTATAGTTGGGATAGGCATCTTCCCAAGCGTCCCGACATCAATTACATGGTAGGTAATTATTATAAAAAATAAAATAAAATGTAAAGATATACTGATATATTATTATTATTATTATTATTATTATTATTATTATTATAAAGGTTAAATAATAATCTTGCAGGTAACGTAAAACGTGCAACAGGAAGTGCTATGATGATAGCATTCGGAAATATTGGAGGTGCAATCGCATCTCAAATATATCAATCGAACGATTCACCCGAATACATTGTTGGGCATATGATCGCTATTTGCTTTTTGTTTGTAACAATAATTTTTATAATAATACAATATAATTTATTAAATATGGAGAATGATGTGAAAATTCGAAATCCAGAACAAATTCTTGCTGGAAAGAGTGATTCAGAAATTAGAAATTTAGGTGATTCACATCCAACTTTCATATATAGTTTATAATAAAAGAGAATTATCATTATGAAAAGAAAAATAGAACATTTATTTGTCGTTAAAAAAAATTTTTTTTTTAAAGATTATTATTATGTGATATTGAAAATAAAATTTGATTTGAAACAATTCCAACTAAAGGAATAGAATTGTAATGATTGTAATACAAAGAATCGATCATGAAGAATAGGTAGAATTTGCACTTTACTTTTATTTTTTTAAGTATCCCAATGAGGGTTAATAAGGCTAATAAAGCTAATAATAAATAAATAAATAAATAATGCACTATCGCACATAGTATTCCGCAAGATAAGAAGACCCCCGCAAATAGTAATCCCCAGGCATTATAATACATATTATTAAATAATATTACATAGTGTACCTAACTTAAATTTCTTATCGAATTCCACGGCTTAGGTTTGTTTATTTCCTAATAAATTTACTTAAATTCTATTGTAGATTTATAAATAATTTCACAAGAATATAAATAATTGCGATAGTCATTTTTTCTTTATTTCGTTTACTCTGTACCTTAATACATATTTATTTGTTTTTGTTTATTTAAATTGTTTCATATCCCTAGTTATCTGAATTGATTTTTTTATAAAATTTCTTGTAACATATATCTTTGTTTAAAAATTCTTTGTTTCTCTTCTCTTTTATCTATTCATTTTTGGGATATCTTAGCGTACAACAAGGGGGTAAATGATTCGATACGTTGTAAAATATTTGATTCCTTTGTTTTTCAGAAATGCTTTGTTTTTAAAGTTTAATGGATGATCCAATTTCTTTTTAGGAACGCAGTGCTTGCGTAATATGACACAATTATTTGTGGCTGATATTTTTTTTATTTTTTATTTTCCTTTTGTTAGGGAAAAAATATATTACTTGTTACTAAAAAAGATTATTCAGAGAAAAGAATTACAAAAAAGCTTAGAAGGATCATTGTGTCAAGGAAAAAAATTCAACCTTTCCTAATTAGATTGTTGTGTCTGACTTTCCAGATTATTTTTACTTCCTATAATAATAAGAAAGACTCTTGAAAATGACAGGAATAATGAGAATTGTGAGAATAATGAGAATAATATGAATAACGATTAAGAAAAATGGATGTCATTATTAATGATCATATTTAAATATTTAAAAATATTTAGCAGCAGCAAAAGAGAACATTAAACATGTGTATTAAAAAACATAGACGCTCTAGGTATTACATTTTAGTATTGATCATCACTAATTTATTTTTAGTTTATAAAGAAATTTTATAATTAAATTCTAATAATAAATAAATAAAATAAAGTTATTTTTTAAAGAAGTTGTAAGTTTTGATTTATTGATTTATTGACGACAAGAGTATAAGTGATGTTAGTAAATAATTTAGATTTTTGAAATATTGACTGCTTAAGTATCGTACCAAATGATATTTTTGGTAATATTTTCACAGACTATAAAGACTATAAAAAATAATTTTCAATTCACCCGCGTGATATCTTTTTAATATTTTAACAGCAAATTTAGTATCAATTTTATGATTAATGTTAATTAATGGAATTAACAAAATCACAGATAAAATCAATTGCACAATGTTGCCATTTTTCTTATACATAAAAGATAGAAAAACCAGAAAACATACCTTCTAATTCTTATAATATAATATATCACCTATTGTACGTATAATTATTAAAAACACTGATCAACATTTCTATATCTTAATTTAGTTTTTATATATTCATTTATAAAAATTTTAAATTGTCATTTAAACATAACAAATAATGGTTCTTTTTATGTTAACCCTCTTAGCTTTACTTTCTATTAAGAATGATAAATACAAATATAGTTTATTGCGAATTCTAAATCTGAAAATCAAAATGAATTTATTATCGTTCATCACGCACAAATGAGTTTTTAATACGCGTTTTTTAATATTACATGTAATTTCTATAAATCAATAAATTAAATGATAAAAAATTTTATTTAAACCTCTCTCCTCAATCCTCCTCGAACGAAAAAAATTCTTATTTTATTTAAATATTAAATATGTCTCTTTTTATTGATCATCAAAATATTTCAAACACAGTAAAAGTATCATTTCCTCCATTTATTACTGAAGATGGAATTGCACAAATACATTAAAAACGTGAATCAAAACTATGAATATATATATGATTTATCGAAAAGAATTTAATCGTATAGTTTCAAAATTTAATCTTGCACGTAAAGAACATTTCTTGGGAAAAATGAACCACAATATATTAAATATTATTACAAACAATTTGCAAAAAAATGTTAAAAGACGTTTCGAAGAAATTGTCCCTTCTCTTTGTTTTTTCCACGTCAATCAAGTATCTAATACAAATGATAATCACGTCCCTTTAGACACCACTTACATTAATCATCCGGTTCATCCACTTCATTCACCTCATTCAATTCATCCAATACATCCAATTCATCCAATTCATCTAATTCATCCACCTCTTCCACTTTATAATAATTATCAAAAATTTCTAGATGCTTATCCTCTGCTCATTAATTCTACTAATTCTCCACTTCTAAATATAGATCAAGAAACTAACATGGACCTTTATAAATATATGACTATAGATGATGACGAATTTATTGATTATTTTCCTGAAGATATTGCCTTAACTTATAAAGCAATTATCCAATCTTTACCTTTTAATGACTTAATCGTGTGGTAATTTACACCCAACTCTTTAATTATTATACTATGATAGCATATATAAGTCTGAATATTTTATGTTTTTTTTATAAATTTTGATAATTAGGATAAATTAATGGTTATCTTAACGACAAAATTTTGAGAAGATCGTTATATTTTTACTAGTATGATTATAAGAATTATATAAATAATAAAATAATAAATTATAAATTAAGGTAACCCCAGTTAATTTGTAATGTATAAAGTTTTTTTAATATTGACTATTATAATCTAAATTTATGTTGATCGTTACGAATTTGAAATACAATTAAGTGCATCATAAAAGAATTAACATAAAGTAATAAAATAAAAGTAATAACAAGAATTAAAACATTAGTATAATTGTAATAAATCATTAGCAACATGTAAAGCAATCTATCAAAAGCAAGCAAACAAGAACATTTTTTGAATCGATTTTAAAGTGTAACATTTTATCAGTTATTTTATTTTAATAAAATAAAGGCAACTTATTTTTTTTTTATCAGATTTGTATTACTGTCATTTATCTAAAATTGGTATAAATTTTTACAATTTAATAAACTAATTACAAGCTCTTGCTTGTCCAAAAAAAAAAAAAATTGGTATAAAAGATGCATAAACTTTACTTATAAGATTAAAGACCTATTTTTTAAGGGAATTTCTAAAGCTTACCAGTGATGATTGTCACCACCGGGCAGAATTACATAATTTCTGATCAAACCCTAACCCTAACTTTGCCCCGCGTAAATTTAATTCTGCCCAGTGGTGACAATCACCACTGGTGATCTTTAGCAAATTTCATTTTTTTAAAAATTAACTAGTTATCAAAATACTATTGGGAACAATAGTGAAAATAATAATGAATTTACACTAAACCTAAGAATGAAGAAAGTTTTGAAAAAGATCTTGAAGAATTAAATAAATCAGTTTTTACTTTAAGTGTTAGAAAGTGTTAGTTTAATAAATTGTTTTTTCGACACTTCAGTGGTGTTCTAGGGTGATGTATTTATCAACGTATGTCACATCCTTCGAATATCTGGAAATCATTATTTTTATTGGTTGATAATTAGTAGTAATATCTAAGCATCATTCCAAAGAATCGGAATCATTTTGGGTTATATTCGATACAGTTAGAAGATTTATTTATTATAAACTTATCATCACATCAAAAACAACTAAAATATTTCATTCAACGAAAGAAATCAATTAATTCTTGTCATAAAATATATAGTTTATAATAGCTAGAAAAGTTAGAATACAAAATATATCTTCTAAATCCTATAATATAATATATATTCACGTTAGGAATTATATTATTAAAACACGGATCAACATATCTTAAGTTGTTTTATATACATTCCCTTTCCAAAAGACTTAATGACGTGAAGTATTATAGAGTTAAATCAAGGCGCATTGACGCAAGTAGTAACTCGTGACGTATTAGGTGACGTAACTCAATTAAGTCATAATATTTATTCTTTATAAATAAATTTATCAAGATTGATTTAATTATTTATTATTATAATATATTGATAACTAGTAATTGAATTTTAGTAATCTTTAGTTGTTTTATTGAAAGGAATCTAGTTGTAGTATTTTTATATTAAAACTTTGTTTCTATATTTAAAAATTTAAAAAAAAAATACAAATTGAGTTGACTGTTATATATATTAATTTTATAATTTTATTAATTTTATTAATTGTATTAAATGTGAAAACATTTGATTCGTTTGTTCGTTTACGCATTTATTATATATCGTGTGATATCATGTTGGGCAAATGAATGATTATAATCCTAAAATATCACATTTCATCACAAACATAAATAACGCGAAATTTTATTATAAAAAACTTTGTTTCGAGCCATTAATTAAGTTGATTCAAAATTGATTTTTGCATATAATTACAAAGTTTTAATACATATTTATGAACTAGTTAAGTTAGTTAAGAGTACGACAGCACGCAATCTTTTACACATATCTGATAGCAGATAGTGTTAGATGGATAATATTTTGATAAATAACTCTTATACTATCTTATATTATCTCATAACTTCTGTTCATTTGAGTGTTTGATCAATGAATTAAATCTTGTTGAACAACTTTGCTTAGAGCTTTGTTAGCCAATTTACTTTGATTAAATCAAATTATCAGATAAAAAATCATGTATATTGTTCAACAATACCATTGCATCATAATGTATTGTACTATGTATAATTAACTGCACAACTTTATTTTATTACCATTTTATTATCCATTTAGTAATGCCTAATACACTAATGCATATATTAATGCCCATTTTTGTATGTACATTTTAATCTTAATTATGCTATTAATATAAGCATTGTATTTTTATAACTGTTATGACATAATTATAATATTTTAAAAAAGGAATAGTTATATTTACAAATAAAAAGATTGATATTAGACCAATAACTAATGATCAAATGGTACTATATCAATAAATATATTTTAGGTTATATTTGATATGTAATCTTTTCTGGTAAGATTGATTTTTTTTTATTAAAGAATATTACCGATTATGAAATTATTGATTTCTTCAAATATATATTATAAAAAAAATGCGTTAGGTAATACCACATAAATTTTATTTTTATGAAACATCTAATAAAGGTAACCCTAGTATCGGTGAAAATATAATAAATATAATATATGTTATTTAATAGTAATAAACGGGCGGGGTATATAAAAATTTATAACAAGTTAGTTTATAACCTAAACCAAGTAAAACAGTAAAATTAAATTTGTTTAAATAAGACAATATATTTTTATTTTCATTGTTTAATTAAAATTAACATTACATAATCAATGATCAATTATAATGAAATTTTTAAATTAAAAAATTCATTTGTTATTGAATAGTATATACTGTAATTCGATGATTTGATTTAAAATTTGCACTTTATTACTTAGGTGCCTTTTTTTATTAACCTATTAATTTTGATTTCTTGGCATATTATTATGTTATTATTTGTTGTTACTTATTATTACATGCTTCTACCTTCATATCCGAAGTTCACCCTTTTCTTCTTAATAAATAAAATATATAAAATATTTTTTTTTTTTGAAAATATTACTAATACTTCAAATAGTTGTTTTTGTAATACAATAAAAAAGGAACAATCTAAATGAATAAACAATCTTCTGAAACAAAATGAAATATTTAAATTCTTTCAAAACATTTCTTTTTTTGGAATCAAAATGATATAACGAACAATATTTATTAGGCATTTATCAAACAAACATACTCAATTTACAAAATTTTCACATGGTGGTACTTTCTCCACGTAATATTACATCTCACATAATATTTAAATATATTACAACAAACGATTTTCCGTTTGTAATAATGTATATAAGCTCGTTATGGGTCATAAGACTTCGCGTAAGGATATTTATTTATTAAAAACAACAAAATTTTCATGTGGTTACGGTGGTACGTTCTCCACGTTAATATTAGAATCTCGGAATCCCCATAATATTAAAATATTACAACAAACGAAGATTGCCGTTTGAATAATGCATTATGTGTGTTTTCGGTCATAAGACTTCGCGTAAGGACAATATTTATTAAAAAAAATAAAATTTTCACGTGGATGTGCGTGTGTTTACTGTGGTACGTTCTCCGCGTAATATTAGAATCCCACGAAACATTTATCTGTCTGTGATTTGAATAATGCATATTATGCTGATATCGGGTCATGAGACTTTCGCGTAAGGATAGAAATCCAAATATAGAGTATACTCATTATTCGCATATATTTAGATACTTTTATAGAATTTTTTTTGTGTGTGTTATTTTTTTTAAAAAAAAAGAATCATCAAAACGTGGCGGAAATTTTTAACAAAGAATTTCTAAACAAAACGTCCCCTGACACTGCAAACCGCGATGGCGTAATGGTTCGTGCTTTGTCTTTTATTTTTCTTAAATATAAAAAAATTAGTTTTTGTTGATATATTTTAGCGGGAATTCCCGTATCAGCTTATCAAATCACAGATGGGTAACACTGAATAAATTGTTCTTTTCACAAAACCAATATGATGTCATTAAAATATTTTTTCATTTTGTTTTACGTTAACGAAAAATGGTAAGATTAATCAACTTTTGGTTAGTTTAACAAACATATAACAATATAAATATAGGTAAAATTCAATTAAAAATGAATTTTTTTTTATTGACTCATTTTTTAATAAAAAAAAAAACTCTAATATTTTATAATATTACATACATTACATTAATAAATGCTATCTAATAATATTTGCTAAATAAACTAAATAAATGATTTTAACCCTAAATAACCTTAAATACTTAAATACTTAATTTAACTTTAATTAAATCTTAATTTATATTGGACCTTTTGTATAATGGTTTGTTGTGAATAAACTTAAGATAAAGTTTTTATCGAATTTCTTTTCAGAATAAGCCAAGAATAATATTGTAATGAGAATAACGTTAAATATTTAGAATATCAAGTTTCAAAATTTAATTATTTCAGATGTCGTAAATTGCCGTAAAAATATTGCCGGAATTAATAAAAAAAGAAAAACCAATTAATAAAAAAAAACTTTTTTTTTTTTTTTGAGTTGTAGGTTCAACCAACGATAAAGGTTTAGTTTAATAAAATGGCGAAGCAGACCCTTCAGTCAACATGGAAGCAAATAAATTGTCAGGTGTATTATCACTTTCGTGAACGATCGGAGTGCTTTCTGTAGGAATAGGCATATTCCTATTATACAACATTGACTCAGCTTCTTCTAATGACCTAGGCGTGGGTAAGTCAACAAGCGCTCGTTGTAAGCGTGATGCGTCTGATGTTGTGATTCTCAATGGTGTTGTTCTATAAGTATTTGATAATTGAAAGGATGAAGCGCCAGGATTATTTTCAAAATAATCATTAGTCATATTGGCCATTCTAGAGAAGTGACTGCGAAAATGTGGAGGGTAGTTTTTCAATTCGCTCCAGGCTCTCGCAGAAATGGCACGTAATTCGATTGGATTAAAACCAGAACCACAACTAGATATAATTAATATTGTAATAATATCTATAGAACGTATACATCTTGACTTTCTATATATTGTGATTGTTTGACTTCCATAAAGAAGTGACGCCATTATGTTGTTTATGTTTAATTCGTTTTGAGCCATTTATAGATTATTTAAATAAATTTTAAATTTATTAAAATTTATTAAGAAATTTCTATTATTTTTTTAATATTTTAAAAACGGGTCTGAAATATTATCAAAGAATTTAATCATTTGGGGAAATAGGAGGTGTTTATATAGAGATTGATTTATATAAGGTACACATATCATTACTTTTACATTCAAACTCTTAGAAGATACGTAATGTGTGTAATATTGTATTATAAAAAACGGTTAAATTATATTGAGAGATATATAAATAAATTGAAATATGATATATATATATATATATATAAATTGAAATATGATATATATATATATATATAAATTGAAATATGAAATATATATATATAAATTGAAATATGATATATGAAATGTATCTATAAATTGAAATATGAAATATGATATATATATATGAAATATATATAAAAATTGAAATATGATATATATATATATATAAATTGAATCATAAATAATAAATAAAAGAATCATTATATATATTTAAAGTAAAGAATATGTTAAACACAAGTGATTTCTAAATATCACCGCAGGTGATTGTCACCACTAGGCTAACTTTGCCCACGTAAATTTAATTTTGCCTAGTGGTGACAATCACCTGCAGTGATATTTAGAAATTTTCTTAAAATTAAATAAAATTGAGATATAATAATATCGAATCGATTTTAAAACTTATTTAATATTTAACGCCGGGGTCCATGCAAACTTTAAATTTTTTTTTAGGTTTATTGATCCGTTCAGAATGTTAAATTAAAGCGCAGAAAATTAATTAAATTGTATTACTATGAAAATACCGTTATGTGAGTCTTTAACCTGAAATACTGGTTTATAACAAGAAATATAATTGATATAATCTTTGAAAATAATAATTTTTAACTGTATGATATTACTTGTAACGGGTTTCCATTGTACTTCATTAATACGTAATATTTAGAATATCTACAATTTAGGTTTCTAGAATGCTGTCAATCAAAATATATATGGTTACATTATCCCATCTAAAAAAACCACCGAGGTAATAAACAAAAATTATTCTTTATATATAACATAAAAATAAATATTATTTTGTATTAAATGAATAATCACAATATTAACAACAATAACAATATTTACAATACAATATTTACAATATTTGCACTCAAAACAACAATCAAAATAATAATAATCAAAAACAACAACAACAACAATAATAATAATAAAGTCCCTACTAAATATTCAAGAATTTTTATTTACGGTAAGTTAACAATGATAACCGAGAAGGAAGAGGATCTTTTTTGTGAATAAATCGTTTTAGGTATTAAAATATGATCGTTTTTTTAATAATCGATAATGTAATTACTTTATAATTATCTAATTAAAAATTTTTTATAATTTTTTATTATTAATAAATGGATATAAAGAAATTTTTTTTTTACTTAACAATTTGAAAATAAATAATTTATGTATGTTCAGAATACATAATTTGAGGGTAGGGTTATCGTTTTTAATTTTTCAAATTTGTTTTCACAGAATTATTAGAGTTATATATTTTGTACAATGCAGACAGATTTGCTCCGATCGATGGTCGGATCGGACAATTAAATATATACAGTACCTACCAAATTTTTTTTTCTCGTTTTTTTCGTGCATGCATAAGATGCGTGACTATTTTTAACTTTATTTTGTTCACCACATAAATTATTGTTGAAAATTCGTCCAGTAAATTATCATTATTATTCGTTGTACAAGATCACAATTATTTTTAGAATTCCTATATGAAAAATCTAGAATAATTCCTTTTGTTAAAAAATACTTGTGATTAATTAATATTTTTTTTTTGTCTTTGATCTTTTGCGTTTAACGAATATATGAACTTTCCATGCAGATAATGGAAAATCTATAATTGAATGAAATAAAAATATATAGATTAATGATTTTACTTTCTTTTATAAGTTTTTGAACTTTATGTTTAAACAATTATTCATCAAAATTTTTATAAATAGCGGTATATCCCAAGTTGACCACATAAAAATTATAAAAACAATTTATATTTTTTGTCTCTTTCTAACGCATACTATATATATATCATGACAAACAACAACAACAACAATCAAGTTGTCCCTATAAACAACAATCAAGTTATCCCTATTAACAACAATCATGCTAACAACAACAATATTGTTATTAATCCACTGCCCCTTAACAACAACAACAACAACATTAATAATCATCATTTACATGCTCCAGTTGTTTTAATTAACAACAACGATCACATTTCACACGAAGAAATTTTTAAAGAAAAATTCGTGGATTTTCTTTTTAATGGAAATGCTAATATCAACCAATCTTCGGTTGTAAATAATGCAAGAGTAGAATTTAGTTCTTTTCTGCAAAGCGGAAGAGAATTCTAGAATTTATTATTTTATTCATTCATTTATTTACTTATACTATTTATATAATTATTTTTATTATATTTATTTAATTTATTTATTCCATTCATTTAATAATAATTTTCGAGCAAAAATGGTAAATGATAAAAATTCGTTAAATTGGTAAATCGTCGGAATATATTATTGCGATTCGATTATGTGCAATATCGGCAAAAATCGACAGATCAGAAAATCAAAAATCGGAAAATCGGTCGGCGGATCGAATTTTCATGTAACGCTACTAAATAAATATTATTATGTGGTCGGGTTGTATATTTTGTCTTAATTCTTTTTATATAACTTTATGGTTATCATTTATGAGGGATAATATGTTATTATTATGTTTATTAATCTAAGATACAGTTATGATTATAATATTTTTTTGGACCGAATATATATAGTTGGTGATTATAGCTATATTACTCTATTTTTTTTATATTTACCGTGAGTAAGCATCAGTCGGTGCTTATTTACGGTAGGATATAAGGCTATATATATTTATTTATGAAATTCGGTTAAAACATTTAAGTTTTTTTTTTATTTTTTGTTTACATTCTCAGAACATTTTCTATAATGAAGCTTAAAATCTTTTTTTGCCAGTATAGATAATCAATAAATAAAATTATTATTGATAAAAGACTTCTTTGATGGATTTCTTGAATTGTGAATTACAAGTTATTGTATGATATAATAAAGTGTAACATGCATAATAAATAATCGTAAATCTTTTTACTTTCATACTTTTTTTTTGTATCTCGTAACGCTTGCGGTGTTGCATCAAATATTTATAATTTGCATTCTTTTTTAATCCTTTTTTTTTAATTTTTTTTTAAAAAATTTTTTTTTTTTTGTTTCCCTTATTTATCTTTTTTTTGTCTCTTTTTTATTTTCTTTGTTCTTTTGTGTTCTAATGATCACAAGGCAAAGTTTCCAATAAGATGAACCTTACCCGTTTTGTTAAAATGAATTATACTGGCTGATAATATCATATCAAAAAGATTATCTTTTTTCATTTATACTTTTTAATTTTTTTATTTATCCATTTTAATCATTAAGCGCACCCTTGTTCTCTTTATTTTCGGTTAACGAATTGGTCGTAGCATTAATCATATTTATTATGATTGTATAATAAAAATCATTTCATTTTATTATATTTTTTAATTTTCTTATTAGCGCGTCGAAATTCGCGCTATTTATTTTGGTATTACAAACTATACCAGTAAAAATGCGGGATTTTGTATTTTCCGCATTTCCGCATTTTTCCGCATTCTTCCGCAATTGACGCTTTGACCATGTGGCTTATTATAAATGCTAAATGACACACTATACCATATTAGCATTATTGTAAAAAATCAAAAAACCTTTTTTTAAAGTATTTTCACTTTTTTTTACCAAATTAAAAAGTATTTTCCTTTTTTTTAAACAAAATCCAAAATCCAAATTCCAAATTCCAAAAAAAAAAATTTTTTTGATCCCAAAATTTCACTGAACTTCTCCTTAATAATTAAGGTGACTACAATGTAATCGTATCTCGAGATGATGATTTAAGTGGACGATGTTATCAAGTGGGGGAATTCACTACAAATTTTGAATGGACGGACAAAGGAGAATTATATATCTCTGAAAAACTACTACTTTACAACAATGTTGGATATTTCCTTATTCTGATGAGCATGCAGCTGCCGGATTGACATGAATTTCGAAGCAAGCAAGAAACGTTCTGGAATTGTCACACTGAGTAATTATAAATTTGAAAATTCTGGGCGAATACGATCCTATAACACAACTATTGATAAATGGATGTATACAAATGATAGTTTCATTTTCTCATTCATTGAAAAATGATAATAAATATATACAAAATTCAAATTCTTAACCTATCCCCTTTTCACAACAATGAACTGTATATTTAGGGTCCTTCACTCATGCAAATTATGGTCCTTGTTTGGAAACCGGCTATATATATAAAAAGGAATATCGTACTTTTTACGAAAAAAAATTAGAGCAGAAATGGGAAAAATTTAAAATTGTTAATCATGAAAGTAAAAAGAAACTACTAAACTACTTTAGTTTAAATTATGATAAAATGTAATTAATACTTTATATTTACAAGAAATATCAAAAATAAAAAAGATGGAAATTCTACTGGAAGACGACGAGCGAGCAGTTGGAACTTGTTCCAAAGAATTTTCCATATCAAAAATATTCATTTATTTATTTTTTATTTCTTTAATTTTTAAGGTATGAACAAATTATTTAATGTATAAAAAAAAACTATTATTTTTCAATGAAAAATAAAATACGGAGGTAGCAGATGTTTAGTTTTAGAGATTCACTATATGACAAAGATACTCGTAAGAATAATTGTTTGATATTGAAAAACTTGAATTGTTTATCGCTTCAATGACTTAAAGATAATTTAATGATCTCACTAGTAAGAAATTATTCAATTACTTCAACTCTTTGTGTTATAAAAAAAAATTATAATTATAAAACATGTAAAAATTAAAAAAAAAATTAATAAGAAATTGTTATAGAATTATTGTTCTTGTCTTGTCTATTACATAATTAAAGAAGAATAAAGGTCTGTATTCTTGAGCATGTAATAGTTCAGTTATGAGAATTGATATAAAAGAAGTTAATCTATATCTTTCTTATGCATTATCAGACAAGTAAAAGCCAGGCAAATACTTATTGCACCCTGACTTAAAAAATTTACCAAACCATAAACAATTGTTTATGAATAGTATAACTAAGGTTATCATAAGATTGTTCCATATTTCCATTCTCTCACTTTATACTTATCTTGTGCTGTATCCTTGATATTAGGGACAGGTTTAAATTTTTAATGTTTCAAATATCATATTGGAATTCCAATGTTACGAACTGGCAACCAACCCTAGTTCTTCGACAATATCAAGATCTTCACGGTTTACACAAAAGACAATACACATACCTTCGTCTTTGCAATATCAATGTCCGAAAGCTTAAAAGAATGATGACAAAGCAGATGGGGATGAGGAAAATAATAGTAATAAGAAAAGGAAAATTGGAGCAGTTTTTGAAATTCTTTCGAAAGAAACAAAAAACTGAAGGTATATGATATTTCGACCCGTGTAAATAGGAGTACAAAAATTCAAAATGCAAAACGAAAAGAAATATTGAAAATGTGGATAAGTTGTTCTTGCTTGTTTATAATATGGATGTTGATAACATATAACAATAAAAACCATAATGCAAGTCTTTCATATTTTCATAATTTACATCGTTGACAATGGAACGCGGACCTTTATACTGTACCTTACAATGTTCTTGATAACGCAATAAAGGAAGCAATCCAAACTTGGAGCCTGTTAAAGCAAGGAAAATCTATTATTACACTTTTGTAAAAAAAAAGGTTCATGCACAAAATTGTAAAAAATGTCTTCATATTATTATAAATGAGAATATAAGAATAAGACAACGTGACCTCCCAAAATCACAACAGTAAACTTATTCGGAACCGTGGAACCGTAAGCTCAGCCAATGGACATTTGTTTGGGTATACGAAAAGCAGTTGACCTCCTGTGAAAATCAGGTCATCAAAGCTTATTCTTTAAGATCCAAATGACAAAAGCTTATTCAATTCTGCTCTTGATAACCTTATATCTCCAACAACTAAAGCACCAGCATGCAAATGTGACATGCACATGTATAGATGCATCTTTGAATCTAAATTGCTCTGTGGATGTGGATCTCAACATATGTACCTTTGATGTTATCATTATATTTCCTAAATTTAATGGAGGAAAAATGGGGAAAGAGGTTACATCGGAAAATTAATACTTAAAATGATGATATGGCATATGCAAGATTTAGGGAGTTACTTTTACCAAAAGCAAATGAATACAAGAAACAAGTGTTCATACAAGCAAATCATGTAGTTGGTGTAGGTGAATTCATAAGGAGAATATTTTAAAGTATGAAGGATATAACCCACTGATGAGATACCAGAATTTCCTTTAGGCTGGATGTTGAATATTAATTTACTATTCAGTTTAAAGCTTCCACGATCATGAGGTCACATGCATATTTCCAATTTTATTTGGTGCCGATAGAAATTTTTTGGATCAGAAACTGTGTATGCATAATTTAAATATTTTGTGCAAAAAAGAGCTATTGCTATTATTATCTAACAAATTATTAAGCACATCATATATCCTGATGTCATGTTATCTGTTATTACGCGTGATAGTAGAATCGAATTTTATTCGCTTGATTGTTTGTTGATAATAAATTATTTAATTTATCCAATTTCTGATTATATCTTGTCCAACGCTCGGAGTTGTTGAGTTTTAACCCTAAAATTCTCAGATAGGTAGATTGATTGATTGATTTACGCAAACTAGATAAAAAACAGGAAGAAAAAAAATAGATCTTGCAGATCGTGTGGAAATACTTGAAAAAAAATGTTATAGTGGGACGTTGGAACTTTAAGATCGAAACTTCGTTAATTAGGACTTTAGATGTAATATGCACCAATCAGAAAAAAAAAATCTTTTCTTTCCGATCTTTTTATAAAAAAAAAAAAAATTAATGCACACAGAAATTGAATGCGTGAGAATTTTTTTTAAAATATCTTATGTGGAACCATGTGTAATTTTTTAATTTTTCTAATGTAATACAAAAGAAATAAAAGAAGTAAAAAAATCTAATTATTTACTTATTCTTTGAATTCTTTTTTTAGCACTTCTTTTTTAATTTCTTTCTTGATTATGTGATGGTTTCACACCTTTCTTAATTTTCTTGATACCCTAATTCTTATATTGGTGTTACATTTTGCGTTATAATCTTATTATAACAGCAAACAAATTCAGATCAAAAAAAAAATAACTTATCAACAAATAATTTTTTTTTTCTCCTTCTGATATATATATATATATATATTATTGAAAAAATTAAAATTATTACAAAAAATTAAATAATTGTAAAAAATAAAACTTACAAAAAAAAAAGTGTGTTTACTAAAAAAAAATGACACGTTCAGCTTCCACCCTAGGATATTCAAAACCAAAATCATTCCCTCGCAATACCATTAACATTGAATCTCCCCTCGTGACTTCATATGAATCAAGTTCGTTACCACGTATTAAGGCTTCATCTACATCAAGTTCTCCACCACGTATTAAAAGTCCCACAAGTTCTACAAATTCAACCGTAGGAACCAATTTTCGTTCACGTTCTTCATCAATAGATTATGAATTAAATGATTTATTTTGTTCTATTGTTGATGATTTATGTGCTATTTTCGTTGATGCCAGACAAAGTGGTTTAAATGAACAACAAACCGTGGAAATTTTACTCGTTTATTTTAATCATCGAAATCAGGATCCTACGCAAATCTTTGAATGGTTACAAAATAAAACCCACAAATATAAATATACAACTTTATTAGGTTATTTTTATGATCAAGGTATAGGGACCATAAGGAATCAACGTAAAGCATATTGCCTTTATCTTTCAGCTGCCAAAAAAGATTATTCCGTGGCTCAAGATTTATTAGGTGATTGTTATTATTCTGGTCAAGGAACTACTAAAGATCGAAATATGGCTTTTTCTTGGTATCAAAAGGCAGCAGATAATGATAGTACAGGATCACAATTTAGTCTTGGTATATGTTACGCTTTTGGAGAAGGAACTGCTAGAGATTGTAATAAAGCATTTCAATATTATAAAAGGTCAGCTAGTGGAGGTAACGTTAGTGGTATAAATGAATTAGGATATTGTTATGAAGTAGGAATTGGTACTAAAAAAGATAGTAAAAAAGCATTCATGTATTTTGAACAAGCGGCGAATGGAGGGAATCCACCTGGACAACATAATCTTGCTTCATGTTATGAAGAAGGGAAAGGAACTCCGGAAGATCTTAAAAAAGCACTTTATTGGTATCAGAGGTCAGCCGATAATGGACATGAGGTGGCCAAAAAGAGACTAAAACAATTATTAACGTTGATTAAGGAACAAGGAAATGAAGAAGAATTTGCAGAATACTTTCCAATGCCTGTAGCTTAATTGCCAGGTAATTTTATTATTAATATAATCAGGTGATAAATATTTGCTAAATATTTATATCTCTTAGCTAATTAAATTTATTCTTTCATTTTTTATTTATCAGAAATTAAATTGGAATTTTTGAACGTGGAAATGATTTTTTTTTTTTGAAGAATTGTATAATCGAATTCTTTAAATGAATGAATGAATATTATTATTAAAACGTAGTCAGAGAAAGTAATAAAAAAACTTTGTAATTATTTTATGGACATTATTTTTTTTTCTTTTTTAATATTTTTTTATTTTTATTTTATTCTTTTCATTTTAGCATTTAGCATTTAGCATTTGCATCTTCATTTTTGTTAGTGAAATAATATCTAATTAATTAATTCTTAATTTATTGTTCGTTTGTTTACTTTGCTTTTTAAAATTTCCTTTTTAAAATATGTAAATTGAAATTTTACTCAAAATCAAATAATATTAATGTAATGTTCCTTTCTTCCTTTAAATTATTTGTTCATATTAATATTATTTTATATATATTGTATATAAAAGTGAAAGAAGCCGTAATAATAATAAAAAAATTTTATTTATTCTATTTCTTGTGTCAAAAAAAAAAAAAAAGTAACTAATGTTTAATGGGGACGAAAAATTTTTTTTTCTTTTAAGCTATGCGATTTTTAGTCTAGTCTTATTTGGATAAGGATAATTGATAGTTTAACAGTAAATAGACGCTTTAGTTTAATTTTTTTAACGAATTATATAATTTATATCATAGAACTCTCTCATTATATAATAACAGCAATTGAGATAGAATTGAAGATAGATGCTAAAAAGGAACAAAACATGAATATGTGTAAGGTCTGTTGAAAAAAATAAAGTATCGAAAGATTCAAAAAAAAAGAAAAATCGATTTGTCTTTCTGTTGAAAAAGTCGTATACTTATTTTTTTTTCACAGTATTGACTCAATGTATTTAATGTATTCAATGCAATCAAATGTACAATATTAAAAAACTGAAGAAAATAATGAGATTCAAGAAAAAAAAAATATCATCTCATTTTTTTTTATTTTCATGACCTGCACGTCGCGTCGGAAAAAAAGTGATATAAAAGAAGCTATATGTGACTACAGAGGAGTTGTTTTTTTTAGTAAACTAGGGGTGGGATGAAAATTTTATATTATGTGATTGTACAGGATGTATTTTTTTAAAAAAAGTTCTAACTGCGCCGCTAATCAACATGTCGCATTAAGTGCCTCTTTCTTTTTCCACATAAATACAAGCATCACGAAGGAGTCTTGTGATAAAATATCAAAAATATATAAAATAATAATTACCTCAAAAGTGAATATAATTCAATGAGAATGGGTTGAAAAAAAATTATAATATATGTAAGTGTAAGTGTGAAAAAAAAATTACAAAAAGAAAATATTTTCAATATTATGATGATGATAAAATACAAAATAATGCAAAGTAAATAAATACAGATATTTATTATAAAATATTTTTACAAGAAAAAAAAATTTAATGCAAATGAAGTTAATGAAATAATGATGTACTGTATATTATAAATTAAAACTATTTAAAATTTACTAATCTCTAATATCTAATAATAATAATAATAATGATAATAATAATAATAATATTCTTATTATTTATTATTTCTCTGATTCATCTAAATGTTTTGGTATAACAATTGAATTTTCTTTTTGATTCTATTTATTGTAGAGAATTAAAAAAGAAATTAATTATACTAATTATTAAAGAATAATAAATAAATAAGTGGTTGTTTTTTTACCTGTGGTGAACTTGATTCATTATCTACATTCTCATCACCTTCATCCTAGATTTAATACAATTACAAAGTATTTTAGATAAAATAATTTCATTTCCTTGATTTAATATATTAATTTTCTCACCTCTAATGATGTTATAATATTTTCTTCCTATAAATAAATTTAATAAATCAATTAATATTTGATTAAAATATTTAAATTAATAAAAAATAAAATTAAAAAAAATTTAATTAATTAATATATGAAAATATTTACCTCTGAAGAAGAAGGATTTGATGAAGTTTGAATAGATTTATTTAATTTATATTGTAATTTGTCAAGAGAATTCTGAGCCATTAAATTACCATTTTTTAACGCTTTCTTATACCAATTTATTGATACATTAAGATCTCTGTCAGTTCCAATACCTTTTTCATGACACCAACCCATCCAATACATTGAAGATATATTTCCTTTCTTTGCGGAATTTTTAAAATGTTCTAATGCAATTTTGACATTTCTCTCTTTTGATCCAAATCCGGATTTATAACATTCACCTAATTCATATTCCGCATTTATACTTCCACCTTCATACGCTTTGTTATACCATTGAAAACAAAGTTCTTCATTCTTAATTGTACCCAAACCAAAATTATAACAATCCGCCAAAAAATCTTGAGCTATTGGATAATCCTTTTTTGAAGCGGTAAGAAAACAATTAAAACTTTTTTTTAAATCTTCATTAGTTCCAATTGAATCCAAATAAAAGTAACCTAATAAAGTGATATGTTGAACAGTATTTTGATTACTTGATAACCAATCATAAATTTGAAATGGTTCTCGATCATTGGAAATGATAATCTCATAAATAAATTTGGTAATTTTTTCATCAAGGTGTCCTTTATCTTTTAATTCTATAAATTTATCCGCTATTTCATCAACTATTCTTTTAATTGCATCACTTTCTTCTCTACTTATGGAACTACATACAGAAGATGACATTGGACTCGTACAACGTGAAAGAGAAGAATGAAGAGAAAGTAATGGACTTTGACTACGTGAATGTGGTCGTAAAGGACTTTGACTACGTGAATGTGGTCGTAAAGGACTTTGACTACGTGAATGTGGTCGTAATGGACTTTGACTACGTGATTTTGATATTTTAGGTGTTGGACTTGCATTCCTTGATTTTGATAATTTAGGTGTTGGACTTGGATTACGTGATCTGATTTTTTGTCGTGAACTTGTTGAGTGTGAGTTTATGTTTGTGTTTGAGTTTGAGTTTGAATTTGAGTGACTAGTTGTAATTATCTGAGGAATTTCCATTTTTTTATTATTATATTATTATTTTTATTTTGCTATTTATTTTTTTATATTTGATATATTAACAAGATTGAAAATTACAATAAATATATTTTGAAATGTTTATCTTTTTTTTCCCCCAACGAAAGTTCACAAAAAAAAAATTCCTTTTATGTGTGTATAAAGCGAGAAACTTACTCGTGATGATCTTTTTATGAAAATTTATTATAAAATCCCTTTTTTTTTTTTTACGTATTGTATTTATAAATATAGATATATAAATATAGATTTGCAATTGGTTTGACAAACGTAGTATAATTGGTCTCGAATTCGTTAATCGAACACAAAGTTTTAAAAAAACAGTCATCACTCTTCAGAATGACTCTCACATGGGTGTAATTAAAAATTTTGATAAAAAAAATATAAATAATATAAATAAATCAGTAATATATATTAGTTAATCAAACTGAAATTTATTATATACATTTTGGAATATTATTATGATTATAAATAGATTTAGATTTTAGGTAAATATTTTAGATAAATATTTTATATTTTAGATATCAATATATTTTAGATAAATAAATAGATATAGATATATAGATGGATAGATAGATAGATAGATAGATAGATAGATAGATAGATAAGAATAATAAATTTATTTTATTCAAGTTTCATAATTTAATAAAAGTAATAAATGTTCTAATGGTTCACAAGCATCGGTATTTCCATGTTCTATAGCTTTCTTATACAAATTGATCGCTTGTTCATAATCTTTTTCAACACCTAATCCTAAATCATAACATTGAGCTAATAAAAACATCGCTGATCGATTTTCTTTTTTCGAAGAATTTTTATAATGTTGAATAGCTTTAATTAAATTACTCTTTACTCCAATTCCCATATCATAACAATAACCTAAACCAAATTCCCCATCAATACTACCATTATGAGTCGCTTTTTGATACCATTCAAAACTTAAATCCGGATTTTTAGGAGTTCCATGACCAAAACAATAACAATCGGCTACTAAATCTTGAGCTATTGAATAATCCATTTTCGCGGCTGTAAGAAATAAGTGAAAACCTTTTCGTTTATTTTCTTGACCAATACTTTGATTAATATCTTGACCAACAATACCACCACCATTACCATTAATATAAATACTTTGACGTCTACCACCACCACCACCACCATTAATATTTGGACTTTGACCAATACCTTGGAAATAAAAAAATCCTAATAAAGTTATATATTGAACAGTATTTTGATTATTAAGTAGCCAATAAAAAATTAAATTTGGTTCATGAATTTGTTTGTCAATGGTTTTAGTAATACAATCAGCTACCGAAACAAAATTATATCCTTTCTCTCGAGCATTAACAAAATTTATTACAATTTCTTCCACATCCCTTCGTAAAGCATCATTTTGATCACGATTAATAATAACAAGTTGAGGACTTATACTACGAACGGAACTTGTATTAGATCTTGATTTTCTAGGTCGAGGCGAAATACTGAGAGTGTTGTTGTCATTATTATAATAATTATTATTATGAGGACTTATACTACGAACGGAACTTGTGTTAGATCTTGATTTTCTAGGTCGAGGTGAAATGCTGAGTGTGTTGTTATTACTACTATTATTATTATTATTATTATTATTATTATTATAATTATTATAATTATTAAAATTATTATTATAATTATTATTATAATTATTATTATTATTATTAATATAAGACATTATTGTATGTTGCGTATTTTAAAAATGATAAAAGAAAATTTATTGAATTCTTTAACGTTTTTGAATGATATGATGAATTTATGATGAATTATTTATATGTTGTGTTTGATGTTGTATGTTATTGTAAATATTAGAAATGTTCGAATGATATTAGAATAAAATAAATAAATAAATAAATAAATAAATAATAATATAAATCAACAAAGAAAAAAATAAATAAATCGAATATCAAAAGATAAATAAATTTTTAAAGGGATTTAAAAAGAATTTTTTTTTAAAAAATCGAGTATTTAAAAAAAAAAATTTTTAATATTTTATATACAAAAACATTTTAAAATGTAGTACATAGTATAATATAGTATATATAGTATCGATATTATATATAACAGAACAATACAATTTTATGTAAAAAGAGAGAAAAAGCCAAAAGCGAAAACCAAACCAAAGGGGGGTTAATATCATTAAATAATATGATGACAACAACTTATTATTATATTTTTATATTTTATATATTTTACTATTATTATAATTTCTTTGGTTGTTCGTTACACCAACACAATTAATACAATTGCAGAATTTGATTTAGAAAATAAAAAAACTTTTTACAATTTCTGATATATTTGTAAAATAAATGTACACCCATACACATTTATATTTATTTAATTAATTTATTTATTTATTATTACCACTTTTTTATTTTTTATTTTTTATTATTATCACTTTTCTTACATTACATCAAACTACACCAAAACAACACCACCACCAACACCACTTACTTATTATTACCATTTACCTACTTTTTCGTTTCATATATTATTATTATTTATAATTATTATTATTGTAATTATTATTGTTGTTATTATTATTATTATTATTATTATATACAGAAGAAGGATCTATTTTTTATTTTAATTTTTTTTTATCTCTACTTTCTATATAGCATTTCGCTTTAAAACATAACATAGTCAATATAAGGAAAAAAAAATGCCCGCAAATTCGGAAAGGGGTTCTTCTGCATATACAAATCGTAAAATATGTCCTCACATAAATCGATTTAGTAAAAAAGATTCTCCTACTGTCAAGATTGATTCTTCGGCTTTTAAGGTTTTTTTTTTTTATCTCTCCCTTCAAATGCAGTGAATTTATCTTTTATTATTATTTATTATGATTTAATTGTGTGATAATAATTTGATTGAGAAATGATATAATTTTTAAGAGATAATATTTGTATAATAGTGATGTTGATGTAATTGTGACATATATATTGGGAGATAATTTATTGAGAGAGAGAGAATTGTTATTTTAAGAATTAAAATCAAATAAAAAAAAAATAATTCTTTTTAATGATCCCTTTCATTTCATTTTATTTATTATTAGAAACAAATTGCAAATTCTACTTTACATTGTGAAATTTGTGATACAAGAATTCCAAAAATATGGGTGTGTTTGCATGTAAGTAAATTATATTATAATGTATATCTAGAAAATTAAATGATCCATTAAAATTGAATTTTACAAAAATAATAAAATCTTTTTTTTTTTTTAAAAAAAAAAAAATTTCTAAAGCCCAAATGTCGTTCAGTTGTTTGCAGTAGTCATAGTTCAAGATCTCATATGCTTACCCATTTTGAAAGTTTACATAGAGTATGTATTTCATTCAAGTTTTAATCTTATGAGAAAATTATATTGAGAAAGAGATATTATGAGAGAAATATAATGATAGATAATGTAGATAATGGGAGAGATATATAAATGAGAAATGTGTAAGAGAGAGAAATATAATGAAAAATATAATACTGAGAAATACAATAAGAAGAAATCGAGAAAAATTCAAGAAAATTCTAAAATTAAATTAAATTAAATTAAATTAAATCAGAAATTTATAATTCTAGATTCTAAAAAACAAATTCATAAATTCATATTTAGGAAGATAAGAAAGATTCCTGTCATTCAATATTCATAAATCCCCGTACATTAACAATATGGTGTTATAGTTGTTCAATAGAATTAAATCCTTTCAACAAAGATGAGGCTTTATCTTATGAAGTACGAAATTATTTAAAAATTATTGTGAGATGTTTGGTAATTATTTCATTTATTAAAATATTTTTATTATTATCATTTTTTTTATTTTTATTATTTTTTTTTTATTATCATGTAAATTATGACTAAAGAATTATTTTTTTAATCTTTTATTGTCAGTAGCAGGGCAAGCAAAATAAATTATATCAATCAATTGAACAATTTCCTGTTGATGTTCCAGGTATTATTTAGTTTAGTTTAGTTTAGTGTAGTGACTCCTTGAGTCTTGAGTAAATTGATTGATTTTATTTATATTTTTTTTTAATAATAATTTTTAATAATTTCATTTAATAACTATAATTTTAATAAAATTTTAATAATTTTTAAATGAATAATTTTAAATTAAATAATTTAGGGTTGGTCGGTTTGAAGAATCTAGGGAACACTTGTTATGCAAGGTTTGTTATCTGTTATGATATTTATGTCATTTAAAGATATAATAAAAATTTATGAAATTTAACAAGAAGTATTAATAATAAATAATAATATTTTAATATTTAATATAGTGCGGCTCTCCAATGTTTATCTAATACGTAAGTTATGCATGAAATCATTAACTTTATTATTACTATCATTACTATCATTACTAGATTTATTATTATCATTAACTTTATTATTAATTAAAATTAAAATTCTTCTTTATAGTCCGGCATTAACCAACTTTTTTAATTACTGCGACGCATATATTCCTCGAGGTAATAGACGTTCTAAATATAAGTTGGCGGAATATTTTCGTGATTTCATAAAAGCCATGTGGAGTGGTATTAGGTTAGAATTATTTATTTATTTAAAGAATTTCAACTCAAGCATAAAAAAAATTTTCTCAAACAAACAATCAATCAATCAATCAAATAAATCATTAAAATCATTCTTTAAAAGTCCAATTTATGCCCCAGTTCAATTAATAGGTGAGATAAAAAAACATAACGAAATCTTTCAAGGTCATTCCCAGCAGGTAATTTTTTACTATAATTTTTTTTTTTTAATTTTTTTTTATCTTCCTTAGAAATAAAAGAGATTTAATTTAAATTAAAATTTTAAGGATTCCGTGGAATTTCTTCGTATTGTCTTGGATAGACTTCATGAAGAACTTCCATATCCATTATCCCTGCCGATGACAAATACGACAAATGACAATAAAAACAATAATAACAATAACAATAATTTTCATAATTTCGAAACAACATCTATAGCCACAAATATAAGTTATGATTCATATATAGATGATGATCGTAGTGCTTACGGATGTGGAGCTTCTTCATCTTCTGTATCTTTATCAAGTACGAAAACCAATATCACCACCGCCACCTCTAAAACTCTTCCCCCTCTTCCATCATCATCATATTTATCATCATCATCTCATTTATCATCATCACACTTATCATCATCACACTTATCATCATCATACTTATCATCATCACCATCTTCTCCCCCAAATTATTCTTCTCCTTCTCCTTCTCCGCATTCTTCTCCATCCGATAAAAATAAAAAAAAAAGAAGGCATCCATTACCTACTAGTGTAATTAGTAATATTTTTCAAGGATATTTGGAAAGTAGAATAAAATGTTTGCATTGTAAAATGGTTAGTAATTTTGTTACCTATTATCTATTATCCATCACCATCATCTATTATGATTATATATATGAATATATATATATTAATTTATTAAATATATATTTATTAGGGCTTTTCAAAAGAAGATCATTTTTATGATCTTCCCATTCAAATTGATAAAAAATTTAAACAAAAATCATTGGAAAAAAATGATGGTTTTGTATGGAGCTCAGTAAAAGGATTTTTAGGGTGAATACTAAAGTTGATTAAGTTAATTATATATATTTAAAAAAATTTTTTTATGAATAAATACTTATCGCGTGTATATATATATATATATTTTTACTTTATTGCGCATATATAGATTTTCGGGAAGAACTTTAAGATTACAAGATTGTATTGCTGCGTTTTGCGCTACCGAAAATCTTACGGGAGAAGATAAATACAAATGTGAGAAATGTAACACGTTGTCTGATATTCAAAAGACTTTACGAATAACCCGGTTACCCGAGGTGGTTATTATATTATTTATCTATCTTTTTTTTTTATCTTGTTTATTTTTTTTTTTTATAATTATTCATAATTTTAATATTTATTTTATTTATTTATTTTAGACATTATGTATTCAACTTAAAAGATTTCGTTATGATTCTTATTTTTCATCAAAAATTGGGACTCATGTCGAATTTCCGCTTGAAGATTTGGATATGAGTCCTTATTGTAAAGAAGGCCTACCGGCATCCGATGCGAATGGAAAATATAATTTATATGGTTTGATACATCATCGAGGCGGTTTAGGAGGTTGGTATTTTTTTTTTTATAAAATTTTTTTAAACAATAATATTTTAATATTTTAATTAATTTTTTGATATTATATATTCAGGCGGTCATTATGTTGCCTACGCTAAGAACCCGATTGATGGAAACTGGTATGAATTCGATGATACGGTAAATTTTGTCACATTTTGTCTTGATTATTATTTCATAAATAATAGTATCATAGTTCTAATACGAGAAAAATTCATAATAATGTTTATTCGCATATTGCATGTATATATATTTTTCCTATACTTTCTATACAGTATATTACTAAAAAATCCGAGGAGGACATATCACGTTTAGAAGCCTATGCATTATTTTACAGCAGGACCAGCCCTGAAAAATACGAAGAACGAAAAGAAATCCTTGCTAGAATATCGAATGATGTATGTTTCGGTTTTTTGTTTTTTTTTTGTGATGTGTATATATTATTATTATTTTTTTTAAATATTTTTATTAATAGATTCCCACAGAAGCACGTTTCTGGATTTCTCGCTTATGGTTCAATAGATGGCAGTTTATGAACTCGGTAATTTATTTTTTTTAATTATTAATTTAAATTATTAAAAAAAAAATTCTAATATGTTAATATTTATTTATTTAGCCTGGAATTATAACCAATTACGATTTCATTTGTAAACACGGAGGTTAGTATTACAATCAATCATTATTATTGATTTATTTATTCGTTTAATGTTTTTTTCGAAAAGGTGACCAAAAAGATTGCATTTATTAACTTTTACCGATTTTTTTTTTTGGATGAAATTCAAGGTATAAATCTTAAAAATTATCATAAACTTCGTGACATGGTGGTCGAAATTCCCTTTAGTGCTTATAAAAATCTAGCAGATAAATATGGTACGGACGGAAGTCCATCATTTTTTGCTTCAGATTATGGAACACCCGGTTGTTCATCGTGTCAGGTAATCTTTTTTTTAAACTTTTCAGATTGTTCTTATTGTTCGTGTTTGTACTTGGCAATTAATATTTCATTTTAACCTTTGTTCTTATCGTCGTTATATTATTATTATTATTATCATTATCATTATTATTATTATTATCATCACCATTATTAAATATCATTATTAATATTTATTATTATTCTCATTACTACTTATAGCATGAAGAAAATGAACTGGAACATCGAAGACGTAAAGAAGCTCACGATGTTAATATTTTAGATTCTAATTCAATAAATCATGGTGAATATTGGTGCTTAGTAAGTTCAGTCTGGTTACAAAATTGGCACAATTTTAAATCAGGAGGTAATAAAGTTTTCTCTCTCTCTTTCTTTTTTTTTTTTTTCCTCGTCGTATTCCTCAGCGATCTCGTGCTGATGACATATTTGCCACAATTTGCTCCAATTTGCTCATATATGTATCATATAGGTCCATTGCCGGGTGCGATTGATAATAATACATTCCTTTTAAAGAATGGTCGACCCAGACCCGGAATGAAAAAAGGAATCGATTATAGAGGCGTTAATATAAAAGTCTGGACTTATTTTCAAGATACTTACGGTGGAGGACCAGCTGTTTTTAGAGGTAAATTCGATTTTTTTTAATTTATTTATTTCTCTTTTAACATTTAATATTAATTTATTTTTATTATAGCTACCATCGATTTATATTCCCCTCCAATTTATTTGGGTTTCAAAAATGGTTTGCACTAAATTAATTGAATTAATTGAACTAATTGAACTAATTGAACTAATTGAACTAATTGAATTAACTGAATTAAATGAATTAACTGATTTAACTAAATTAATTATTTGTAAGATACTATTTTGATTTGTTATTTTAATTTTTTTTTTTTTAATTTCGTTAAATTCGCTAAATTCGTTAAATTTTTAAATTTGATTTGTTAAATTATAATTATTAATTGTGTTGATTGATAATTGTGTATTTTTTCGAATCTTATAAGTTTTATTATCATTGACAAATAAGACAACTAAATGTATATTTGTATTATATTGAATTTTATTATAAATTTTTTTTTCCTTCTTCGCATTTAATTTATAATAACGTCTAAAATGTCTAAAATGCCGAATTGTCTGTGCATTGTGTTACAAAAGAAATCATATGGCCGATGTTGACATTCTAGCTTTTTAATATTTTTGCTTTTTTAAAAAAAAGTTTTGCCATTTTTGAAATTTTTCCTCTAGAAGAAATTAATTATCTCATTTTAAGAATCAATTTGCTTTTCGATTTCAATCTTGTTCATACAGTAAATTGCAATTATTAATTACTTTGTCTTGACCAATTTTATCTTTACGGAAATTTAAAAAATTTGACTAAAATTTTCCTTGTTGAAAATTAAAAACTAATAATATTTTATTTGTTGATACCTTAATATATGCTATTTTATAAACCGCAACCATAAATAATTCTTGTTTTCTTCGAAGGCTTTAGTTTCAAAATATTACTAGTGAGCGACTATAACTCATTAGATAATCGTTATACATTATTTGTCATTATTCTTAATTTTATCCTCATTTTTATCCGAAAGATCAACATCTGCACCATTACATTGTTCGATATATTTTTTTTTTTCGTCCCTTTAATATAAACCATAACCATAACAAAACCAACTTTTTTTTTAAATCTTTTCATCTTTTCGATAGCAATAATTTCTTAAAATATTCATCTTATCATCTTGCCATTTTCATTTGCATATTATTATAATCTTAAATCTTTTTATTACTTATATAAAAAAACTTAATTATTTTTTCTTTGTTTACTTCATAATATTTACTGTATACTTTTTTTTATTAGAAAATGCCACAAGGTCAAAGACGACAAACACGGCACGATAATATACCGAGAGCTATAGGCCGTCGCCGAAATAATAACCATAACAACCATAATAACGCTTCACCCAGTGAGCGCGGATCTCTCCCTGATTCACAAACTTCCTCACCGTCATTCTATCCAAATACTCCCGTTGACAATCAAAGTGTCCCTCTCCCCTCACAACAACACCCGAACTATTATTTCCATAGAGGTTATTCATTACCCCCAATTCATATAGATAATGATACAAATAGTGAACCTTCTTCTCTCCCACGAAGAACCTTTTCAGAAGGTCGTCGTAGTTTTCAAAATTCTATTAATGACCACTCCCTATTTCATGTCAACCACCACTTCTCTCCGGTTATCGACCCTTCGCTATATCAAGTACGTCCTTCAGAATTTAACTGGCAACTTCCTTACCCCCCACGTTATGACTGGGCACAGCAAACCGTTCCTACGAATCCGACACGTGTTTCCCCTCCTCAAATACACGGACCAAATTATTTACACCCTCATAATGGTGGTGGGACCTTAACATCTTGGAATTCTTTACCACAACAACAACAGCAATCACAAAATAACATTGGATGGCAAGAACATTTAAATGATAATAGTGTTAACGATTGGCGTCCCTCCACAAATGATAATACTGCTAGTGAATGGCAAGTTATAAGTCCGAACGAAGTTGATGTACTTACAAACGATGATTCCGGAAGGATACCAGATAACACTACTAGTGCTTCTACGAACGATGATATTAATAACGAAGAAATTATTGATAATGATAATTCCAATAGTAATAATAATAGTAACAATAGTAATAATGCTAATAATGATTCCGGAACCTCTAACAATACTACAACAACAGCAACAACAACAACAACAACAACTACTACTACTATTACTAATAATAATAATAATAATAATAGTAATGAATCCAACACCCTCAACAATAACAACAACAACAACAATAATAATACAAACTCAAATATACGGAATAATGAATCTGAACCAATTGAAAATGGCACAAAACCGCGACGAGGAAGGAGAAGAGCAAAGAAAGTTGAAGAAGAAGAAGCGACTAATGATAAACCCGTTTCAACGAATACTTCAACGAACTCTTTGACAAAGAGGAAAGCTGAAGATGAGATAATAATTGACACACCTCGACTTGGGAGAAAGAGGGCAAAGAAAGTTGAAGAGGAAATTGTGACTCAATCTACAAATAATATCAACAGTAATATTAATAATAATAATAATGAACAATCTACTCAATCTGATACGACACAGAAAGGTACAAACTCAAGAAAAAGAGTTGAAGATGTAGTAGTAACTGATACTGGAAATGATGAACAATCCGGAACATCAAAATTGCGCAATCGCGGTCGAAAGAAAGTGAAGACGATAAATGGTGAGGAAGAAGAGATTGCTACAAGACGTCGTGGAAGAAAGAAAGTGAAAATTGAAGAAGAGGCAAGTCAATCATCCACGACTGCCGAAAGTTCTTCTAAAGCGGCAAATAATGAAAAAAACGAAAAGACCGAGAAAGTGGAGAAGAATGAAAAGACGGATAAAACTGATAAGAAAGAAAAGAATGATAAGAGTGTAAAAGACAATGATGTAAGTAAAATAACTGAAGAAAAGTTGTCCAATGTTCAGCAAGAGGAGTCAAGCCTAGGTGCTAGTTCCACTCGAATAGTGCTCTCTTTACGCAAAGCTACAGAGACGAAGGATAATAAAATAGTACCTAAAAGAATAAGAGTAGTAGATGCTACAATGAATTCAACTACTACTACAATCAATAGCAACTCTACTAATACTACTATCGCAAGTTCAAATGCTACTGTTATGTCTACAAATCCTAATGCTGAAAAGAAAGTAGTACGAAGAAGAAAAGGAGTCGTTTCTGTAGATTCTCATACTTCGGATAATCATAATAACAATCCACTAGTTACGGTTGTTTCAAGGAAGCGAAGGAAAGTAGATGATAAAGGAAAGGGTAAAGAGACTGATCATAACGAAGAACAACTTTTTGCGCAAGGGAATGGTTTAGTCGCGACACAAATGACCACCGCCACACTTACAAAAGAGGCGGAAGAACTTTATAAATTCTTTCAATCGTTAGTGGTCCCGACTCCACCTCTCAAACGAGAACAAATGCTACGGTTAGGGACGTACGTTTTCGATCAAATGCTTTCACAAGCATTTGCTCGTCCCTTCGTGAACCCCGAATCGGAGTCTGCGGTGTACTATAGGTCCATTATTAAGGACCTGATGGATTTAAGTACTGCCGAAACCAAACTTTGGGGAAGGCAGTATAGTACACCGTTAGATCTTTACAAAGATCTATGCCAGATAATGTACAATGCCTTCTCCTTCCATCGCGTCCGTGACATTATCTACGAGGAGGCCAGGCAGATGTCGGTATGTTTCCAACGTTTGGCCTCTAACATAATGTAAGAAAAATTTTTTTCTTTTTATTTATTTTCTAGATACGGTATTAACCATATTAATATATTTATTCATAATTAGCACGAAGGGAAATACTCCTGAAGGAATGGAGTCCTTCTTAAAAGCGAATGAGGTGAAGTTACCTCACGAAGAATTTAATATGATGAATTTCTCTCCGGACAGGGAGAGGTACATATTGAAAAATTCTTTAAAAATCTTTTAAATATAAAATTAATTAAATAATTAAAAAATTAAATTACTAATTATACTAAGTTTTTTAGTCGTGTTTTTATCGTACCCATTTACACCCTTCAGGAGAACAACCGAACAGGTCCGCACAGGAAACTTAAGGAGAGGGTAGCTGATAGACTTGATCCATTATCAAGACCGATCTGTGAAGCATTTGAAGCCGAAATATTACCACCAATGAATTTTAATCCATCTTCATCCACCAGAAATTTCGGACGACTTTATATTGTTCATGGTCGCAATGCTTTAAACGAATGCCGGGATAGTAAAGATGCAATTTTGATCATTTTAAAAGATGTGAACTATAATAAAACTGATGTGACACTGAAATGTAATGCCATAATTGCCAAACCATTTGGAAAATTGGTGGAACTTGATAGTATTGGATTCCCGGAATTAACAGATGCTCGAGCATGGATAAAATGTGCATATCATGACCGTGTAATGATAAATACGCAAATAACAAGAAAATTTTTTGATAAATATGTGAAAAGTTCTTTCGCGGTACAAGAATATCATCCATCACTTTGCTGGACGTCCGAATTACATGAAACATTCTTAAATTCACTTGGCCTTCATCATCGAGTTGATCAAAATTTATCGGATGAACAAAGTCTTTGGGCAAAACTTTCACAAGAAGCAGCATCTCGAGGGGTTCCGTGTGAAGAATTTCAAACGCTTGGACATATTAAAGTGAAAGCCGAAGGAGCTTATAAGCGAGTGTTCCATTATTCAGAAGATAATACATTTGTGGTTCAAAATTTTAAAGAAATTAATGACCGAACTCTTGAGATAAGAATTCGAGAGGCAGTATGTTGTCTGTAAGTAACATAATAAATATATGTATAATCTATTTTTTTTTTTTAATAATAAATAATAATAAATTCTTATTACTATATATATATATCTATATATATCTATATATACATACTTTAGTAAGATAAAAGGAGCAGCCAATACCGGTCAAATTTGTTCTCTTTATAAAGGTCCTGGTGATGAATTGGTTGGAATGTCAATGACTAGATATCAACAAACATTAAAGGAATATGTATTCGATTCCAGACGAACACTTACAGGCGAACAAAAATATGTTCTTATTCATGATATGATTCGAGGAATTAATGCATTACATCGAGTTGGATTTGCGCATCGAGATTTATCAGAAGTTAATATGATGGTGACAGAAACCGATAAATTATTATCAGATGGTAGCGTTATGCCAGAATTAGTGATAATAGATTTTGGTAAAGCGGAATTTACCCGACCGGCTGATATGATGAAGTGGTCAGTTGGAGAAGTTGATCAAGAGAAACTTGGATTATTACCTATGATTAAGACTGAGCCGGATCATGGTTATAAATTATATCGGTAAATAATTATAATGATTATTTATTATATTAAATTTTATTTATTATTTATTATATTCATTTTACTTATTGTATTTAATTATTATTTATAATATTAATTTGATTTATCATATTAATTATTATCTTAATCATTTTTAAGATCAATAATGACACTTCCACGCACAAAGAATGATAAAAATGTTTTGCCCAATCCGATTGATCCATGCTCCGAAGATATATATGGTATCGGAATTCTTGCCTGGAGAACATTTTCAGGACAAGCACCGTGGTCTGGAGTACTTGACACCGACCTTAAAGAACTTCGATCGATAGTGGGAGATTCAATTAAAATTAGTTTTTATATTGAGAAAGATGTGAGGGGAGTAAAATCAAAAGAATTTTTATATCGATGTATAACGGTGGAACCTCAAACTCGAGATAGTGCCGAAAGTTTATTAAGTTGGTACGTTCGACCTGAAATTAAAGAAGAATTAATTAAAGAATGGAGAACCGCTGGTCGTATTCGAAAAGAAAAGAAATGGTAGTTTTAAATGTAATCAAATGTGATCAAATGTAATCAAATATAATATAATCAATGTAATCAATATATAATCAATTTAGGTGGTCACTTTTTTGAATTGAGAAAAAATTAAAGTGGATCAAATTTTATGGTTCAAGATGAATTTGGTAGATGGTCCTTTCTTTAAAAGATGAAAAAAGGCAATTGATAAAAAAAAATTATCATCAAAAAAAATATCATCATAATAAAAATTAAAAGCGGCGGTGGCGGCGATGGCGGCGGTTGGTCCCGGTGAACACATATTTTTGATGAATTTGGTAATCCTTTTTTTTTTTTACTAGAGATTTGATCTAGAATTGAATTGATGAAATGTTTTAATGTTTTAAAATATTTTTATGAGATTCGAAGTTCTTTATTTTTTTTTCACATTAAATCAAATTAGACGATTAAATTATAATTATTATTTTGTATTCCTTATATACAAGTTTGATTAAGCATAAAAAAAAATTTTAAATTAGTAAATAATAATAATAATAATAATAATAATAAGAAATTCACGAATTATTTTGCAAATAGTAAATATATTAAATTTATTTTTTTTAATTTATTAAGATTAATCGATAATTCAATTTCGATAAAAGATAAGCAGTTCTTTATAAATTTTTATTCTTAAGGTCATAATAACTAATAAGTAAATAAATAATATATGAATATTTAATATTTTGACATTTTTCGAATAATTTATTAAAAATAGAATATTTTAATAATAATAATAATAATATAATTAGATAATAATATAAAATATATAAAAATAATAATAAATACAATATTCGAATGATAATTGATTACAAATGAATTGTTGAAATGAATTTTATATATAAATTATATGAAATGATTTATGAGTACGCAAAATTAAAAATGAATGAATGAATAAAATATAAAAAATAAAGTCAAATTAAAATTTTAGCGCATCTCTTTCAATTCAGCCAATAATTTTTTCTTATGAATTACTCCGACGTAATGACCACAATTCACTACACAAACATATTTTAATCCTAATTTCTTAAATAATTCAAGTACAAGTTCTAATGAGGAATTTTGAGCTACTGTTAATGGTGCCTATGAATAATTAGAAATAATTAAAATAATTAAAAATAATGGAATTTTAGTGAAATGATGGATTCAATTACTTTAATAGATGAAAAGAAAAAAGTAATGTTAGTAAAAGGAATAATTACCTTATCCATATAATGAACAAAATTAGTTCCTTTTGGGTTGGAATCTCCATCAGACATAATTATTTCAGGTGTAGAAAATTCTTTAAAATAACATCTAGTAGAATCTGGACATTTAGCTACAGTTTGTAATGCATGTTCAAGTTCTGTAGATGCAATATATCCAACTAATGTTGAATCATCAACAATTGGAAATCCTGCATCTGAATATCCTAATTTTGCTATAATAATAAATATACAATTATAATTAATAAATTTTAATATAAATAAAATTAATTAATAATAATCATAAATAATAATCATAAATAAATCATTTATATTCACCTAATCTTTCTAATTTTTCCTTCAATTCACCAATAGTATTTGCTTCATTAACATCAATAACTTCCAAATTAGTTTGACAAATTTCAAGTGTACTTTTGGTTGTAACATATTCTGCATTTGAATCTAAATATGGATGTTCATTTAAATCTACTAATAAATCATAAATTCCATGTTTTACCAAACCATCTGCAACCCATTTTGAAATCATGATGGCTGTCATTATTGGCTAAATAAATAAACAACAAACAACAACAATAATAATAATATGAATAACAAAATATTAAATATTTATATAAATTTATATATTTTCAAAAAAAAAAAAAATAAAAAATAAAAATAAAAATAGAAATAACAAACCAGAATATAAGACAAAGCTCCAGTAAGTTCAAACATGATAACTGTTAAAGAAACTGTCATTCTTGTTACTCCAGCCAATACAGATGCTGCACCGACCATAGCATAAACTCCGGGTATTATACAATTATTAGTTTCATGTGGATCACATAATGGTGTAAAAAATGAGGAATAAGGATATGTCCTAATAAAAATTAAATAAAAGAAATTATTATTAAGAATTTCAGTTAATATTTAAATTCAATAAATAAATTCAATAATAATTTAAATTAATATTTAATTTGATAATTGAATTAATAATAAAACTTACCAAGTTAACCATTGAACAGCGAGTCCAAGCATTCTACCAATGCATGCACCAATTAATAATGAAGGTATAAATATTCCTGCCGGAGTTCTTATACCAAATGTTATGATGCATGTCAGGAATTTTGAAATTAATGCTACTAAAAGAAGATAAATTATTGGTTTAACCTCTTCTGGTTTAGTTCTAAATTATATAAATTACATAAATTATATAAGTATAACTAATTTAAAGATCTAAATAAAATATAAACTGACTTTTTTTTCAACTTACACGCATAATCCTGCAAGTTCTGAACTTTTAGATTCTTGAGAACATTCGCTAAATAGGAAATATACTAAATCTGTATTTGACATTCTATAAAAAAAAAATAATAAAATTTAAGAATTTAATTCGAGAATTCAATCAACAAAAACAAACGACAAGAACAAATTACAGAAACAAACAAATAACAAACCTGGTATATTTATTCAAAAAGTTAACTGTTGCGGTAATAATTACCACAATAATTACTTCTAAAACTGGCCAATTTTTAAGCCACGTTTCATTACGAACATGTTTACTATATAAAATAATAAGTTTAGATAGCAACGCTCCTGTTAATCCCTAAACAATAAGTAAATTAAAATTAAATTTAATTAAATTAAATGAGATTTCTTTCAAATAATTACAAAAAATATATATATATATATATACAATAAATAAAAATAAAATAATAAATAAAATATAATAAAATAAAATACCCCTAAAACACCCAAGATTATAAATGAACCAATTTCAAATAAATGCCAATCCTTGTCATAGGTAACTTGAAACAAAACAGTTTTTCCAGTACCAAAAGGATCTAATAACTATAACAATAATATATATATATATAATAAATAACATAATAGAATAATAAAACAAATAATATAACAGTAACAAAAATAAGATACCTTTAAAGTAACAGCAGCCACAATAGCACAAAAGAAACTTCTAACCATAGTTTTACTAGGAAAATAATAACTAACTTCTTCCAGAGAAAACAAGACACCACCAATTGGAGCAGCAAAAGCTACACTAACTCCGGCGGCAGCAGATGCTGATAATATTTCTCTTCTTTTGCCTTCGTTTTTATTATATTTTGGGGATAATCGGGTAAATATATTTCCTACACAACATGCTATATGAACAAATGGTCCTTCTTTTCCCAAGGTTAAACCTGCAGATACAACCATTGCCTTTAATAAGAATAATAATTCTTAATAATTGAAATAATTAAAAATATTGATAGAAATGTATATATATATATAAAGTATCTGATAATAGAAATATAATAAAAATATAACAAAAATATAATAAAAATAACAAAAAATAACAGAAAGGTAACAAAAATATAATAGAAATTAAAGAAATAAAGAAAAAAAAATGAAAGAAATTACAAACCAAAGTAACAGCTTTAACCCAAAGAGTTCTAAGACCCAAGAATCCACGAATTACAAATCCACTTAAAATACATTTAACTTCAGGAATACCGCTACCAGCTGCATAAGGAATTAATCGTTTTTTAGTAGGAAAAATTCGTGATTTGGTGGAACTCTTAGTAGATGGTGTCGCATATAATGAATTATATTTTACTATTACAACTGCTCCTACTGCAAAACAAAACTATTAAAATGTTATAAAATATTTTTATTATTATAAATATTTCATTAAAATATTATTATTTTATTAAAATATATTATTAAATATTAAAAGAAACCATACCGCTACAAATACGTATGCAATATATTCAAACCACCATAAAGATTCTTCATCACCTTGAAAATTAAATGCTTCTGACCATTCAACCCAACTAGTACAATTTTTTTCTGAAACATCTACATTTATAAAAAAAAATCAAAAATTAAATTTTTTAATATATTTTTAATATTTTTAAAAAATAATTGAATATATAAATTTTTAACAAACCTTTACAGCAAAATTCTTTCTTTAATTGAATATTTTCTTTACAATAACCTTCCTTTAATTCAGAACCCCATTCTGCTGCAACATCTACTACTGCTGCGAAAAATGCAGTTACAATTCCTGAATTTATAATATCATTTGTAATATTAATTAATATTAATTATAATATATTAATTATATTAATTCTAATATTTAATTATAAATTTTATAAATTTTTTTACCAATTAAAAATACTAAAATCCATCCTTGTGCACTATCACAAGTTGTTTTCAAATATCCTCGAAATCCTTTAAGAGAGTAAAGTTTACGAACTCTAACACGTTCCTTAACATAATCATGAATCCAATCTGATATAATAACATGTAAAATATAAAATATTATTTATAATAAAAATAATAATGTAAAACATATAAAATTAAATATTATAAATTACCGATAGTTGTATAATCATCATACCAAACACGAATTCCACTTCCTTCCTGAACTAATGCTTGTTTATCTTCATCATAAACACCACTTCTTCGTTTATATCGAAGTGGTTTAGTAATGACTCTAAGTTGGGATGGATTCCATGTATGCCTTCTATTACTGGTGGTGGTGTTGCTACTGTTGCTAGAACTGAATCAAGAAGATAATATTTTTTTTTTTAGAACTTTATATTTTAATTTCAATATTTGAATTTCAATAATTAATTTCAAATTTAATTCGAATTTTAAATTCAAAATTTTAATTTAAATTTTAATTCAAATTTTTAATTCAAATTCAAATTTTTTCATATTTAATTTCATATCCGATTCATTTTTTTTATCTATAATTATTTTATTTATGACAAATAATCAAATAAATATATTTATATATGTATAAAAATTATGAAAGATACCCTATAATATCGTTATTATTATAATTATTATTATTATTGTCAGAAAGAGTATAATTCTTGGATGGTTCACCATTTAATAAATTTGTCGTTTCTGTAGGTGAATCAATTTCATCACCTGATGAAAGAATTCTACGAATGTTGTATTCATCTTTTTTATTATTAATAATATTATCATTATTATTATTATTATTATCTTTATTATCTTTATTATTGTTTTTATTATTCCCATTTTTATGATTCTTAATGTTATTTTCATTATCACCAGATAAAATATCTATTTTATAACTTTTATCATCATTTTTTTTACTTCTTTCTTCCATTTTCACTCAATTCAAATACAATTTAAATTTTTTAAATTATTAAATCTATTTTTTTTTTAAATCAAAAGAAAGAGAGAGAGAGAGCGAGAGAGAGAAATGATTAAAAATTTTATAGATTTATAACCACGTAAAGGGGTGTAAAAACGGGGGCAAATTTATCTCCATTTTTATAAAATTTATTAAACTATATTCGGTAAAATTCCATTACACATTATACGCAATATATTTTATTATTATTACTTTTAAGGAATTTTAAAGAACATTAAAAACAAAATTAGGATATTAATCTTTTATGGATATGATATTATGATGTTATTGGATGAAATAAATTATCTAACATTTATTTGTTTTACATTTCATTCCCTAATTGTGTATATGTAAAAGTTAGATGTTACATTAATATCTACATTTATTAATTTCGTCGCTCGTCATTTTATTTACGTCATAATTCACTATGTCATTATTTTTATAGGTACGCCTAAAGTATATATTAAGTAAATCTGGGGAGAATCGACTTAATTTTCTGTAATATCTGTACAGCATAAGATCGAATTTTTATTGCACTAGATATTCTTGTTATCACGAAATTCTCTTCTTTTAAATACGAATATTTAAATACAGTCAACTCTCTATAAATGCACCCTCTATAATTGCACCCTCTCTCTAAATGAATTAATTTTCGTTTATTAAATACGTTTTGATCAACATTAGACACTTCAGTGCCTCAAATGACCTTTGAAATGACCTAATCACATGATGATTTTACTATAAACTTCATATACCAAATGACCTTGTAATTTGCCAACACTGAGATACTTGGGTGTTGACTTCTGTGAATTTTATTTTGATTAAAAAAAATTATTATCCAATGTGATATATCTAACTGTTATATGTCTATTTTTTTCAAATTCATAGCAAGTATCGTTAAAATGATTTTTTTTTTTTCACGCGAAAAATTAATAATTTTGGAATTCACAAATCCAACCTTTTCTTAATTCTTTAATATCTTTACCTTTATGTGTCCATTCTATCACTTTAGTAAGTTCAGTAAGCATTTAGGTAGATTTATCCATTTCGGAATTTACATTTTAATCGATTATCTGTGCATAAACCTGGATTTTTGCTATTTCTACTGAGATTTTCCTTGTACCATTTGAATTCAAGATTTACAATGGTATCCAATCATCTTATTCATTTCTAAAAACAACGCATTATAATAACTTGTAATAATGTAACCACTTTTACAGAATAATAATTATTATAATTCATTCATTTTCTTTAAGCATTTAAATATTAATCCTTTATTTATCCTTTACTATTTTGCAAGTCAGGAAAAGACAACAACAACAACTACTACTAAGTCTATTACATGCTTTCTTATACATTACAACGACAAGCTTTTACAGATGCAAAAGTTACGTTTTAAGAGACTCCAAAAGTTATTTTTTGATATATTGGATGCATACGACAAAAATGGTTATTGTTTTTTTATGTACCTGAATAAAATGTTTTGTTTTTTTAATATTTTGATTTTTCATTATGCTATTTTTATCATAATGAAACATTTTTTATAAATATAAACTCATAAATTTTTTGTACCTTTAGAACTTTGCGACACAATTTCAGAAAGTAAACTACGATTAAGGTAAGTTGTTAAACAAGTATGGGGAATACTCAAATATTAATTTTCGTTATGATGGCTTACAAATACAAAGAAATATAACCTTTTTTTATAAAGAGTATATATTTACGAATTTTTTTTTTTTTCATTTTTTGTCAGAGTAAACTATCATTAAGCGACTAAGTTGAGTTGAGTACTCAGATCTTAATTGTTGCTACTCTAGCTTGGAAACTTATTGAACTATTTAGTATTATCATAATATTCAAAAAATATTATGTTATCTTACGTTAAAAGCACGTTGCTGAGAAAAAAAAAAGCACATGGCTCCATTCGATTTTGTCACATAAAAAAAGAAATAGTCAAGCACACTTTCATATCGTAGCACAATAAAGCGATATCAATTTTCAAGTGGTTTAAGGAAAACAAAGTAATAAATTATAGGTTGTCAAAAAGTTATCAAATAGCCTTAACTATTAAAATAGTTAATTTATTAATTATTATTTCTCTACTATAGTATTGAAAGATTAAAACTATATATAGCTATTAGAACTTTTATTTCTATATTTAAAAATTTATAAACCACTTGAATTATGAAAATACAGTGGTTTATTATTGTATATCATGTGATTTCATGTATAATTGGGCCAATGAATGATTATAATCTTAAAATTCACATTTTCATGACATAAGATGAATGAATAACTTTCATTGGTTATTGAAATAACTAATAATATGAGCCGAGTATTTAAAACAAAATAGACAAATGGAATTTGCTAACTACTTACGTAATTTATATATTCAAAAGTTCCCGATTTAAGCTACACCAACCAATCATGTAAATTCACGAATTTTTAATTTTATCATAACGCTATTGTTTATTACCAATTTAGGATCAAATAAAAAATGTTTGTATAACACGTGTAAACAACGACTTATATATTTTTTTATGGAAAATGAATAATCCGATTCTAAGAAGTTCACTTTATAAATATATTGAATGTTTGATGTAAATCGTGTATCAAACAAATTAGAGGTTTGCATTTTAATAAAGATTAAATTCAGATAACTATTCATTTCCAATAGTTTTAAATAATTAAATTATTGAGGTAAAGATTAATCTTTGATGTTGCGTGTGGCTAACATTATATTCTTTATCGACCAAAATCTTTATCACCTAATTTATACTCTATATTCCTACATAAAATGCTCAAAATTAGTTCACGGCTAAATACAAGTAATAAATTCTTTAGACAGATCCTCGTACGATACAAATATAAATACTTTAAAATATTTTTATAAGCATCATAAAAAAAAAACTTCTTAAAAATCATCTTTTTTTTAAAAAAAAAAAAATTGCAAATACGACAATCTTCAAAAAAAAAAGAGAAGTTTTCTGGCAAAACTATTTTCCACATTTTTGAAAGACAATCATTAATTTAATTTGCCTCTCGTCTATAACAATAAAACTCTTGAAACCCATTTTTATGAACAATAAATTATTACATATATGACAAAGAAACAAGAATATTCAATTTTATTTTAATTATTTTTTATTGTTTCTATTAAGACGACAAATAATTAAGCAAAAAAAAAAAAGATTAACAAATAATAAAGCAAAAAAAAAAAATTGATTAAGAACAACAAATAATTAAGCAAAAAAATGATTACGAATAACAAATAATTAAGCAATAAAAAAAATGCAAATAATTAAGATAAGAAGTGGTTAAGACAACAAGAATAGACAACAATAATTAGATAAAAATAGTTACAACAGAAAATATAAAGATAGTTATATTAAAATATTTTAAAACGTTACATTATGAAAAGAAAAAACTTTTATTCCTTTCTGAAATTAAACTTAATTTAGTTAATTAATCTTTTTTAATCTTTTTTTTTTAAAAAAATCTTTTTGATCATATAATGATATCAATTTATTACACGAAATGTTTGTACGAATTTTTTCTTTCATTATAATTAATAATTAATTATAGTTAATATTTCTCTGTTTTGAAATATAAGTCAGAAAGTTACATCTGATAAGAAAAAAAAAATTACAGGATTATAGGGAATTATATTAAGTATTGGGTTTCAATGTAAATTCGCGGGATGATTAAATTAATAAATATAATCATTTTTCGAAGAAAAATGAATTTGTTGATTAATGCCAGAAGAATAATAAAACATCTTTTTATTAAACGTTCTAAATAATTACAGTCGCACTCGTAAATTTATGTAAATGTACAAAGTTGCCAAAAATGTAAAATAAGCGAATAATTAAATTAGAAAAAAACGAAAAAGGGGATTTGTTGAAAAATCATGTTAAATCTTATTTGAGCAATCTTATTGGGAATTGAAGTTGAATCTTAATGTATAAGCGTAGAAAAAAAAAAAAAAAAAAGGAGTGATCATAATAAAGTTAAATTACACGATAAAAAGGAAAAAAAAAGAGAGAGAGAGAGATGAAAACAAAACGATCATAACAGAGATGCCAATTAAAGTGCCAAGGGAAATTAAAGTTTCACTAATAAATTCAATAAATAGTATAAGTTCGATGAATAATAAATTAAGATAATAAAAAGTTTATGAAATAATAATAATAAGGCGAAATATTATAAATTAAAATGTGTTAAGTCACATCTTTCGCTATCGTAATTTGTGAAATCTTGTTGAAAGTACAAGTTTTGTAAAAAGTCATAATATTCATAATTTTGTTGTTGATCTTCTCGAAAGAGGGGTCGTTGACTCCATGAATGATCTTCAGATAGCACTGGAGACACAATTTCCGAATTTGTAGGACATGTAACAAAATTTGTTTCGATGGTGGGACTTGTATAATATGGTGGTTCTTCCGACTTTGGAATAGTAAAACTTGAGGGAATAATATCAGATTTTTGTTCAGAAATTTTATTGTTATTTTTTTCAGTTTTCATATTGCCCTTCAATGAAGTGTTTATAATCGTTTCTGGTGTAATGGATATAAATTCATATACTACATTAACATTATTTGTGATATTAGTCGACTTATTTTTCGTATTTACATTATTGCTTTTTTTTGCTCCGTTTAAATAATGTAATTTATTTTTCTTTGACCGTTTAGAATTTTTCCATATAACTCTCCTTATGGATTTTTGATTATGTTTTTTTTTCTCATTTAATTCATCTTCAACTTGTTTTGCAATTTTTTTGTAGAAATCTTTGACCATCTCAGATTCATTGTTCCAGTGTAAGCTAACTAATTTTGAAACGTCCGTCATTTTTAAGTTCATATGCTTTGAAGACGAAAGATAATTTAAATATTCTTTTCTATAAATAAGGAAAGCATTTGGTGGTCTTAAATTTATTTCATTCACTTTTCGTTTGTTGATTATTTCTGATGACGTGATTTTTGGAGGAAATGGTAACTTGATTAACTGAGGCTGTCTGAAACTTGAAATAAGGTCTTTATCATTTTGGGAATTAGAAAAATTCGAAAAACCAGAAGGATATGTGGATGAACTAAGTGTTATTTCTGAAAGTTTAGAAGCTTTTCGTGACATTTTTTTTTAAAAAAAAATTCTTCGTTCGTTATATGAATAAATTTTTTTCTTAATGAATATTTTGTTACAAATATTAATTATAAAAGTATAATTGTTTTTATAAATAATTAGAAAAGGAATATAAAAATTATAAAAATTTATAATTGGTTGAATGGAACACGAAATTCCTCAATAAAACTTGAAAAGAAACTTCGGGAATTTATAAATTGTTGAAACGACTCGCTATCATCAAATCTTTTATATTAAAGAAAAAAATATAATATTAAATTCCTGTGATACATAATAACACCATAAATATCTTAGCATATGCATAGTTTATATTTTTTCTAGGCAAAGCTCACTTAAAAATTTTTTTTAAAGATATTTTACATACATTAAAAGAAACCGTATGGATATGGTAACTTAATGCGGACAACAAATCGAATTTATTCACAAAAAAGTTTCACTAAAGCGATAAGAAAGGAAATTATAAAGAAATTTATAATATACGCCGGAATATTATTCTTTCGTTAAATGTAGAGTCGGTGAACCTGCCAAGTGACTGGATAAATTAGATAAATTAAACAAATTAGAAGCTAACAACTATCCAAACAAACAAGAAAATCAAGAAAAAAATAATAATAATAAAATAAAACAACTTGCATGTTACTAAATTTATCCAATACTTCATTCTAAACTCCAAAGAAGTCACACTGACAATTTTTATTCACCAATAAATAACAATAACGATAATAGTAATTATCACTTGTTTTTATATAAATATAATAGTTATTGTGAACTATTTTTAGCAGTGATTATTTGGTCATTTATAAGCATGTGTTTCTGCACATTTTGATAACATTTTTATTTTATGCATCAGCGGAGATTAATGGAATTTTCGCATCACCACATGACTATAAGATACTATGTTGTTTACACGTTACGTCATTAGCGATAGAGAATTAAAATTGTTTATATATATAGCATAAAAATTATCACAGTTAATAAATTGAGATTATCACATAATAAAAATTAGTTTAATATAATAATAAAATTTAATTTAAATATAATAAAAATTAATTTAATATATACAATTGAATTTATAATATTTATAATATTTATAATAGTAATGATTTTATTATATTTATTATATGAATGAATTGCGTATAAAAAAGAATTGTTTGGACTGTTCGATAGATGTTCTTTTCTCATAATTAAGACTTAAATAGATTCTTTAAATCTTTTTTTTTTTTTTTTTAAACTGATCTCATGCATATTTACATATATTCTGAGAGTATCAAGTAAGATGCTTTAGAACTTCATTCCATAAAAATACAAATAACTCCTTTTGCTTTAATAAGTGCTTGCATGATGAGTAATATTTTGCTAAATATAGTTTAAATAACATTAAATATTATTATGTATCATTTCTCACTTATTTCGTTTGTTTCACTTTTTTTTTGTTTCACTTTTTTTGTTCTTTTTTTCTTTTTCTTTTTTTTTTTGTTTCATAATTTTATTTTATTTTATTTTATTTTTATTTTTTAGATTATTTTCGCTGCTATAAAATCCTTATGATATTATAACTGTTTAATGTAAATAATATAAACAATATAAATTATATATAAAATAAATAAATAAAAGAAGAAATGTTTAAAATATTTAAGAATATATGAAATATAATATATATATGAAATCTTATTTTATTTATTTAAAATTTATTCTAAAATGTTCGTATATTTACGACATCAGATATATATATATATATATTATTAATTTTTAATACAATATTTATTTGCGATACATATTTAGACTTAATTCAAGTCATGTTATCGATGTTTATATATCTTATCATATTACTGATATTCTCTCTTCCTCTTCTGATCTTTATTAAATCCTTTATTTAATTATTTTCTAAAATTATTTTCTAAAATTATTTTTATTATTATTTTTTTTTTGTAAATCAAATATTTTTAAAGGATATTACTGAGAATCATATGTCTTTGTCTTGGATAAACTTTTATCAAGTTAATAGATCTTATCATTTCTGATTCAGTAAAATAAGAATTACTTATAACGAATCAATTGTTCGTTAGAAGTTGTGAATAAATTTTTTATTGTTACGGTAAATATATTTTGCGATAAACCCGTATTTTATTTTATTTTTATTTTATATTTCTGTATCATTTTTTATCTTTATTTTAATAAGATATTTTTGTATAAATTATTATTTTTTCAACTGAATAATATATTGTGTCTATTATTAAATTGTGTGTTCCTCAACAGGGCGCAATCTACGAATATGAATTTGACATTTTCATAACGAATCAAAGAATGCAGCGGCGTCAATATTCTTCTCATCAAATATAATTAGCAAAGGGTTTGGTTAACGAATTGTTACACTCTCACTAAACTCGCTAAGACAAAGGAGTCTTGCTCGGGACATCTTTATACATCTTTATTCAATCTCTTTTCTTAAATTATAAATATCGTACACTATATATTTTAAATTTATAAAGAAATAAAACAATATATTTGGTGTCCGATATAAATACCTTAAATTAATTCAAACTCGGATTATATTATCCATTAACTAATTCTATATTTATCTTTATTTATTTATTGTTTTATTGATTCCCACTACCTTGTATCCTGTGTCCGTGAATCTTGTAACCCTTGTGTTCTGTGAACTTTTATAATAGATATAGATATATACTCGCTTTATTTATCAAAATCTGATTTATCAATTATCCCTTATAATAGTGAAAAGAATTCCGAAAAAAAGAACAAAGAACATTCAAATTTAACAATCGTATATATAACAATGGGATAGAACATCTATTAAATTGAATACTCTGATTAATTAAAAATAAATTTTCTTTATCCGTCATTTTTCTCATTTTCGTCATTGAATTCATTTGTAAGATAACACAGATCATCGATTTACGCGTTCGAAAATTAGATCGTATATTGACGAAATATTCTCATTAAATTATTTTTTCATTTTTTGTTTGGAGTTTTACCCATAATATCTTGTGAATTACACATGCTTTCTATCTATCCATAGCTGGCGTTTTGTGTTTTCATTTATGTTTAGAAATTTCATTTAATATTATTCTTTGATTACTTTTTACATATAATTTTCTTGTCATTATAAAATATGTGCGTATAATTGCTTTATACAATAAAATAGGAGTTTATGCAGCATATATGCAATAAAGAAACAAAAACTCAACGCGCCAATTTCAATGTTATTGCTATTTTTACCATTGATTTTAAGGTTCAGCAAACGAAATCCTGTTTGACACCAATTTTTTATTGCGCCTCATAAACTGATTAGGAAATGATTGTTTATGAATTGAAATAAATGAGTTAAATTAAAAATATATATTATACAAAAAAAAAAAAGAAAAAAAAAATTCCAAATATTTTGAATTTTAGTTCTCCAATCCTAATTATGTAAATAAGCAAGCTTATCGCTTTAATATTTTAGCATAAAATTAATATTGATCAATGGTATCAACTAGTAACAATAATTCTAGCCAAGAATTACAATAAATATATTAAATACATTCTTCGCAGTCTTTAAATAATATTAATAATTGATTCAGGAAATACTTTTTTGGCCTGCAAATCTATATCACGTGAGTCAACGGACACGAAATGATTTTTATTGGTAATTTAGTTATAGAAATTTTCCTATTACATATTATATAGGAAGTTTATAAGGAGAAAAAAAAATCTTTGATTTGGGTTAATCTCACAAATTAATTTAACTTGCATCAACTTGGCGCTCTTTGATGCAAAGTGAGATCTTTGATTCTCATTCTACTACAATAAGGTAATGCATAATAAAATTGCATAATGATAAATTTATCGGATATGGTAATTTTCAGTGAAAAATGTTTGTTCGTGTGTAAAATCAGAGTTATCTAATTCCGTAAACAAAAAAAAAAAAAACTACATAACATTTTTTTTTAATAATTACCAAATTCGAAAATATTAATTTTTATTAAATTATTTGTATGTATTATTTTTTTTTCTTATTTTGCAGCCCCTTCGTACCAAGACTTAAGATTTGTGTAATATGGATAATATTGATATTATGCATATTTCAAAATTATTATCAATATTTGTCAATATTATTAATTTATTATTGTTATCAATATTATTAATATTATTATATTAGTTTTAAGATGCGCACAATCCCTTACGATTTTATTTATATTTATTTTAGTGGTATATTGGATTGATTGTTGGCAACTTTTTATTTATTCTTTTCATTTATTTATCCTTTTTATTTATTCTTACGAAGAAAAGAAGAATTTTACTTACGAAGAAAAAGAAGAATTTATTTAGAAGGAAAGAAGAATTTTTTACTTAAAAGGAAAGAAGAATTTTTACTTAGAAGGAAAGAATAATTCTTCCTACAAGGAAAGAATAATTTAACTTATAAGAAAAGGAGTTAGAATATGCCAAGTTGTTATAAATATTAAATTTATTAAATTTATTAAATTTGCATTAAAATTGGAATGTTTAAGAATAATTGAAAATTAACAATTTACTTTTTTTTCAACTTTTAATATTCTGCTATTTTAGATAATACATTTTTTATTTGCCATAATTGTAATGTAATTGTTAAGCAAGAAACTATTTTTAGTACATAACTTTATTTAAATTTTAAATTTCACAACTTTAAATTTAATTTTATCGAGTGTCTAATTCTATACTAACTATTTAACTATTTGAAGTAAAGGTAAAATCTTTAATCCACGTGCCTTCTTATGTAATAAAACTCGGGCTAAATTTTTAATTATTAATTTAACTCTCGTTTAGCGAACTCAAATTAAGAATTATACTTGTTTTAGCGTGAGCTAGAATTCTAATCTTACACTAATTAAACTAGAAATTACTTTGAATACCCATTTTTTCACAGAGAATTTTAATAGATAAACGTGTCTGACATCCTATATAAAAACTTGATAATAAATTAAAAGTTAAATGTATTACAAAAAAAAAGTACATTATAAAATAATAATGAAACCCGATGAAAAATAACTTATGTTTTCCTTAAAAAAGAATTATTGTGAAAAGTGCAATTAAAAATTATAAAAACATAAATGTTGTGACTGAGGTGTTATAGATTGACCAGAATTATAACTACGCCTATGTGGATCTTTTTAAATTCAGCTATCCCTAACCTTTAACTTTGGCCAGTTTTAATTTGAGAACATAAATATAATATTTGAAATTAAGTTTTCTTCTTTAAAGTATACTACATAATAACATTATTCCACATTAAGATTATCTTCCACCTTACAAAACAATCAATAACTTTATCATACATCGATTAACTTTATCAGTGATAAAACTATGCAACTGCGTGATACATCTTTTTATTTATTTTTCATCCACTTTGCATCAATAATATCTATAATTGCATAATTACAGCAATAAAAACAATAATAATTCACTTATTTTTCGCCCGCATAATGTACAAATGTATAAATAATAAAAGATAATTACAATTGAATCTTCAAAAATAAATTCATGTACAGAAAAAAAATAAAATAAAATAAAACTAAAAAACTAAAAAGCTGACAAAGCAAGTCCAATACGAACGGTTGCAAGTGAAAGTGTAATCGTTGAGATTGATATAACAGCAATCTTCCAGCCCTTAGTGCTTGGAAGGTAAATACGCTTTTGCGAATATATGCTGGATGTGTGAGTATCCAAATAGACATAATACGCGTAAGCAGGGAATGTAACAGCGTAACAGAATTGGAATGCGAGGAAACTAGATTTGGAGAAAAATTTTTTATATTAAATAAAACGGTGACGAAAAGTATTACGGTAATATCATGCAAATAACAAATGAAAATAAAATACTCACGCATAGAATTCATCAATGATTATAGTACTAAAAATGTTGCCACCAATATGAACTGTAGCAGCAAAAATCAATAACAAAAGTTGTTGTGGATGATTGGTAACTATAGGGAAATAACTATGCGTATTATCCTCTTCATTCTCGATTTCGTCTTGATCAAGACCCAATAAATTATCTCGATTGTGTTTAATTACATTTCTGGTATGAACATATATTCTTATAAATTCAATAATCAAGGCCCAATCAAAGGTAAGACCTTTTTAAAAATATTTAAAAATATTTAAAACATTTATAGAATTAGAATTAATAAAATTACGAAACGTAAAAGTTATATTATAATAAATTAATAAATTTATTTATTAAATATATTATAATTTACCTTGTAATTTAAACCAACCAGCATCATATGGCCATGGGAAATAGAAAGCACCTGCGGCTGTAGTCAAAATGTAAGCTATTTCTACTCCCCAAAAGGCAGATGATCTAATTTTACCCCCGCTACCAATCAACAACAAAATTGCAAGTTCTGAGGCATTATGAAATACTCCAAATCCTGCAAATAATTTACCAGTGTCAAAAAAGAAATAAGCAACTGCAATGCTTAACGTTGCAACTATGTAAACCATTAGTGAACGATCAAAATCAATTGAAGACACATTTGTTTCACGGTCTTCATCCACAATGATAGTTGAAAGTTTTTTATTTCTCGGTGGATTTTGGGTCCATTTAAATGCAGCGTAACCGCTGAGGAACATGAGAACGATTGAAAAGATAATCACTGCGTCAGATTCGTTGCCATCATATCCTAAATTAATAAAATAATCATTTTATCTTTGCTGTTTATCATATTCTTTTATTTTTTTTTTTTCCCTTGATAATTTCTATTATTTTTGCAAACCTTTAATTTTCATATGCCACGTTAGATAATGAGTAAATCGACTCGGTTCTTGTTCAGGTGTAGTTACTGATGTTCCGGCATAACTTGCCAAAACAATCAAAAAAACAAGAACAGCTGCCGAAACAGATAATGCGTGACCAAAACTCATAATTTTATTATCAAGAAAAGTTGTGAAAAGAGTACATTGATGAAAAAAAATATTGTACGCTCTTTTATAAACTCTAAAAAAGCATTCTAGGAATAGATTTTAAAAACTTGCATTTAAACTTGAATTTACTATATTTATGTCATTTAATCAAAAAACTTTTGTGATCACCCTTAATTTTGTAATACGTTAATTATTTTTCCTTTTCTTGCCTTATGGCGTATTTGAGATTTGATGCTTATCTTAATCTCTGTCATGCACTGTGAATAATAAATTATTACACAACACAAAATTTCAGTGTTTTGGGGTTTTATAAAACTATTAAGAAAAAAAAGATAATCTCTTTCTAAACATATCAGTTACATTTTTCCTCCATTTTTGAATTGCATGGGGTCTTTGATATTTTCTTTTTCTAAGAGAAAATTTAAAAGACGACAAGATATTGAAATTATTGTCTTCAAACTAGATCTGTGTTCAGAATATTCTTAGTAATGTGGAGGTAATACTCATAAAATCACATGAATGATAAAAATTACCATTATTGTAATATACAATAAAACATATTATTGAACTTCTTTTCGTTTGCAATTGATAGAAATGGATAATAGATATAAATGTAATGTAATATAATAATTCAAAGATATTAAAGTGGGTTAATATATAAAAAATTTAATATATTACAAATCGAAATATGGGAAAAAATTTATTTCATATCAGATAATGTTTTATTACCAAGTGAAAGCAGGTGATATGTTAATTATTACCATACTATAATATAATTATACCTCATGATAAAGATATGGATTATTAATTAAAGAATTAAATGAATAAGTATACATTAATTTGCTATTTTTAAATAATATTCTTTCAGAATATTATTTACTTGCTATTAAAATTTAGTATATTTTTGTGCTTTGATAATAAAAATATTAACTTTACTTTGAATATTCGATTAACTATTAACAGTATAATTTTTGGTTATAACAAATAATATCAATAAAGTTTTGCGTGTAACAAGAAACGATGCTCAGAATTTATATCACATTATTTTCGTAAGGTAATACTATTATAACCGACGAGAATTATTACTATATAATTTATGTATTTATGTATTTATGTAGGTATCGTTAACTTATAGAAAGTTGAAACAAGATTAGAACTTGAGAAATCATTCAAAAAAACTTAATGAAACTGAAGCTTCATGGTTGAAAAACACATTTTTCTTTAGTCTACCAAACTATTTTTGATAAACAAACTTTAAAGATTTAGAAATTTTTGTAGTAGTTAAATATCCAAATATTATTCAGATTTCTCTTAATGATAAAATCAGGCCTTATAAAAATTATAACATCTTGACCAACCATTAAAATTACATTTCTAGTTGGATCGACCGTGAAACAACTATGTACCCTATAAATTTGAAAAGTTAAAAGAAATGAAATTATTGGAGGTTATAATCCTTTAGGATGGAAACAAACGACAGTTTCATTTTCTCATTAAAAATGTCAATAAAATTCTTAGCAGAATAAAAGAAACCAAACGTGCAATTCTTAGTTCATGCAAAATTTTCAGAATTTTTATGGTCCAACATTTTGGGTTTGTGTAATTATAATCTAATTTTCGTCTCGATTTTTTGTCATCAGATGAAAATCTTAAACAATGAAAAAATTTTTATAAAATTTATATTTAATTTTTATATTTTATCGCTTCATAATTTAGTAGTTTAAAAAAATGAATGTCAAGATTTTATTTTTATAAAGTACTGAAATTTCGGTTAACCTTTGAATGACATTTTGATCAGTCATAAAATGTCAAAATTCATTAATGATCGAAGTAGCAGTAACCTTTAAAATAACAAAAAACCAAGAATTAATTATATTATTTGAAAGAGTGAAAAAGTGTGCGAGATAATTGAAGAGTGACAAAAGAAAAAAGGATTGGGATAATAAAGGAGAACAAAGGCAAGATAAAAGAGAAACTTACTGAATACCAGCCTTCGTAGGCAATAAAATTTACCCTTAGTAATATTACTTGTCTAATTTCAAAATCTTCTAAATTGGTTTCAATTTCTTGACTTAGCGGAATAAAGACTTTTATTCGTAAATAAATAATTTTAGGATCAATATCACTTAATCTCGAAATTGCAATTATTTCTTTATAATAAATAGGTGGAAAAATTCCGGGATTTCAAGGGGTCCGGCGAAGGATTAAGGTAAGCGTTATTGTTTTCTTTCTCTGTCATTTTTCTAAGCCAATTTTTACTACATAGATCGAAAAAATAAAGAAAATATAAAATTTATTTTTTTTTAAAAAAAAAAAAAATCTTGCGATATTTATGCTATTTTATTTCAGAACGTTGAGGAGTAATTATAGTTGGCAAGTGTTTTGAAAGTCTTTTGCTTAGGTCTTCTCGGTATTCACCAATTTTATGAAAATGACTTCACCGAAGAGTTCTATACTACGATAATTATGATTGATTGGCGTAAGAATATCATAATATATCTATTAAATTAACATATCATACGAAAAAAGATGAATGTAAACTTTAGAGGTGATGGCCAAACTATATTTAGAATATTTTGCAGATAAAATTTAAATTAGTATACTCGTGACTTTGTTATACTAGCCTTCTTATTCCATTTTGGAAATTTGCAAAAAGAAAAAAAAGTCTTTAAATTTTTTTTAACAAATTATCTCAAAACTTTATTGAACTTCTTAATGATAAAAATGATTATAATGTAATAATTGAAGTTGAAAACAAGGAAAAATCTTTTACGGCACATTCTAATATCGATCGTCTTATTATTAGAAAATATTCAGCAAAATGAGAATAATATTAAAGTGATTACCAATCCAAGCATTTCTGCTAAAATTTCTGATGCTATTCTTAAATAAGTTAATTTATTTATAATGTTATCATTTTATAAATTTATCGATTTTATGTAGATATGTTTATGGTTGGTTGTATTGTTGATTAATGTTAACTACTCAACAACGATGCATATTACATATTAGATAAAGAAGAACCTAACAAAAAAATTCTTGATAAACTTCTCTTAACTTAGATCCTGAACGACCAATGAAATCAGTTATTTTACCTGCAAGATCTATTCTGGTTCTGAATTACCTGTTCGTACAAAGGACCTTTTTCAACTATAATTTTTGATGAGTATGCAGCCGAAATTTCCTCCTGGATTGATCATAAAACTACTAATTATTCTTCAACAAATTATCCATATGAATTTCAGTTAATTTTACGAACCTTAATGGCTAGAACTCATCATTTGTAACATATAAAAAAATTGCGATATTTTATTTGATAAAAAAATCATAATTACAAACTCTATACTTAGTGTTAATATTTTATAATATTAAAAAAAATTATAACTAATGCCTTATAATTAAATAAGCAAAATACAGATAATATACATATATATAACGTTAAATAAAATTTATAAATTAGATGTATTCAAATCATCATCATCATCATCTAATTAAAAAATAAATAAATAAAAATAAATTAAATTAAATATAAATAATAATCATGTTATGAAATGAAAAAATAAAATATATTTGACACTTACCAACATTTATTTGATAAAAAGATTCCGTTAATTCTTCAAGTTTCTTTTCGAAATTTTCTTCATTTTTAGGTTTTGGAAGATTCGAAAAATTGAGAAGTCGACTGGTATAAATTGCTTGCGGATGTGTTTTATAATTCAATGGAGTTGTAGTTGTTGTATAAATTGCTTGCGGATGTGTTTTATAATTCAATGGAGTTGTAGTTGTTGTATCAATCGTTGTTTTAATTTTGGAAAATTCTTCAGCTTCTTTAATTTGAATTCTAATTTCGTTATTTTCATATTGATTGTCCTTCCAGTAATATAACTCTGTATGTAATTCATCAAAAGTGGGTCGATGTGTAATTCGGGCATCCCAACATCGCATAATCATTCGTGTAATTAATTTAGGTGTGTGAAATGGAATTTTTGGTCGAAATCCATTACAGATTTTAAAAGCCAAATCTTTATCATGTGCCACATCGTGATATGGGGGAATTCCAGTGATAATTTCATAAGCAACAAATGCAAATGAATAGACATCAGCTGCCTTTGTATATTCTCCCCCAATTAATACTTCGGGAGCTATATAGGGTAATACTCCAGAAACGGTATTCTTTTGGATATTTTTTATGTTTTCTGTAATTAATTTACTCAATCCAAAATCTGATATATATAAATAATTAAGCCTATCTTTTAAAATATTTCCGGGATGAAAATCACGATGAACTATATTTAATCCATGAATTTTTAAAAATTTTTGAGCTAATCGGCTTAAATAGTTTAATTTATTCTTCCAATTGATATTATTAAAATTATTATTTAAATAATTTCTAAGACTTCCACCTTCATAATAACGAAAAACCAACATATATTCATGAGTTTTTGGATCTTTTGTAATTCCATAAAGACGGGCTGACGACGATTCATCATTTGTTTTCAAGAAAATTTCCATCTAAATGACATTTTTTTAAAAATTATAATTAATATATTATATATTTTCAAATAAATTTAAAATGAGACTTTACCTCATTTAAAAAATCCTCATTTATATCTACAATATCATCAAACTTTTTTAACGCCACTTCCCATTGACCATATCTTTTCCATTGTTGATTTTTAATATCCCAATCTTCAATACGTCCATCAACCCAATTAGCATAATAAATAGTACAATAACCACCTTTTGCTATTTGTTTAATGTCTTGAAATCTATCATAAGATATCCATTCGATTATATTACGCCAATCAGCATTTAGTTGAGGATCTTGAATAAGTTTATTTACTGTATCATTTCCGCTTGTCCATTTATCAAAATCATTTTTAAAATGTTTTGAGATGCACGGTTTGCACCAAACATCAATATAACTATATTCTTCATTGCATTCTGGGCATACATAAAGCATTTTCTGTTCGCTTATAGTACGTAAGATGGAAGTTTAT